GGCCTTCCATGTTACAGCAACTCCTGCGACGTCTTGTTTTTGATGTGCCACAACTCAATGAATACTGCAAAATGCCTCTCAAGGTAAACATCACTATTGTTACAGAAACACAGTCTACGGCACAGGAAGCTTGCCTTGTAATACATGATGTTTTCACAATTTGGAGAACAAAATACACCCGAAATGGGTTTTACTCCCATAAGCTGATAGTTAGCCTACAAGATACAACCCATGAAATCAAACCCCTTCTTGAATGTACAGGTTGGAGAGAGTAGATTTGCTGGAATCATTAACTGCTCCAATTTTGTTTCATTTATTTCTGCTACTTTTTTAACAGAGATTAGTAAGGGGACTTAGATGTGGTACTTTCCTGCCCTAATTAGGTTTTCATAATATGTTCAATCTCAAAAAAGCTTTGAAGGACCTGTGGTTTTTCATTTGAAAGGACTAAAATGTTCACTTTCTATTCCATACTGTTTTGTGCTTTTTTTTTTCTTTGTAACAGATCCTCTTTATTGGTTTTGTACTTTTTTTCTCTTTATTAATAGAAAGGCCACAGAGACCTCTTTTTATTTGTTGTCTTATTCCTTATTTTCTCATGTATTTTATCACTAGCATTGAAAGCATCTGGGCCTGGTGGGAGGGCACCAGAATCAGCCACCCACCCAAGAGAACAACGTTTTTATCTTCTATCTCTGAGGCACCTGCCATATTTGCATACTCAGAATGTCAACAATGGCTAGACATACCTAAAAATCCTACCTAGCGATTTTAACAGAACTTTCCCTTCTTTTCAGAAATAGTCCAAGCAAGGATTTCAAGATGCATTTTACTGGGATATTCAGAATTCCCAGAAGCTTTTAGTTCAATCCCCTGCCTCCATGGCAGGCAGAAAACAGTTTGTATGTTCTCAGAGACTCCACATTCCTCCAAGGGCTAATTCTCTCTAACCATAACAGTCCCAGTTTTAATCTCAAAAAGCACTTTAACTGATAACCACAGCTTAATTGGGCATTGCCTCTCTGCAGACCTTTGCTGTCAGCTGGATGCTGGCTTTGAAGGGGCGTTATTGACACCACTCAATAATCTCGCTTTTACTGCTGACATCAGTGGGATTTTTCTTAGAGGATGTGCTCTCACCTGCTGGGATGGGAACATTATCAGTGTACTTCTGCCCTCTGCTGGCCAGATGTGAAACTGCTGTAACATCACGGGGCTATCAGAGGGCTGGAGAGAGGCCAGGAAGCCATGGGTAGTAACCAACGTAAATAAAATCTTCAGACCCGCAACTCACTGCCCACCGTCCCCTCCCCCTATCAGGATCCCCCAGGATCTTCCAGAATTGTGAGCAAAGGTTTCAGACGAAATTCTTCCTACCCCTGACTGGCTAGAACAGCGGCACACAGTAACTCCTTTGAGAAGGTGGCATTTTCTCATTTGAAGTAGAAACGCTTCCTCTCCAGTTTCTAGTGACTGCTAGGGCACATTAGGAGAAACAAGAATTAATCAGGCAGATTCAGCTCAGGCTAGAGCTCATCAGGCACAAGGCCAGACAGTTCCCAGTGGTGTGCAAAGGGTCTCTTTGTGGACAGCCCCCAACTGTTTCATACGTTGGTTTCATTCTCATGACCTGTGCTTACTATTTTATTCTCCCCTGCATGTTTTTGATGCCTGTGGATTTTCTCCATCCCACCCCACTGGTGCAATCCTGTTCTGAACTTCCCAGCTTCTGACGAATCACTATGAACAGTGCTGGAAGTATTACTGTCTGCCTTCAGGGTTGGGGGGCTATGGCCTCGCTGTGGAAGAAGAACTGCACCTAACCGAGAAGCTCTTCTGGGGGATTTTTGACTCCCTCTCCCATAAGGTAATGGCAGTGCTTCCTGCACAGAAAGGGAGGCTCTCAGCGACCCAAGCACCTACGAATAACTAGCGTCGATTTAGCTTTACCACGTACCAGGAACTGTGCTCAGTACTTCATGAGCATATTACATTAATCCTTACCCGACTTTCTGAAATGAACCTATCACAATCCTCATGTTACAGGTGAAGAAAGGTTTCAGAGCAGTTGAGTAACTCGCCAGGCTCACACAGCTGGTACATGGAAGAGTGACCACCAGAGTAAATGACAAGAGTGTTTTCTGGTTTCAGTCTTGGTGACTGACCCCCTGTTCTTTTCCCCCAATTTGGTGTGGCTCCTGGGAGCCAACCTTCACTAAGACCGAGCCAAGAGGAAAAGCCCTGACACCTGCTCTGATGTTGGTACGTGGGATTTCCAGAAGACTTCAGCCATTCTCGGGGAGGTTCTTCATAGCCACTCATTTGAGGAGGAGATCGAGTGAGAACTCAGGGCCTCTGAATCCCAAGCCTTATGAACAGTCTGATCAAAATAAACTCCAAATCTCAGACTTTGCTCTACTTCCCTTAACCCGACTTCCTTAGATTTGTGAGGTCCCCAGCTTTAAAGGCAAAAAATGAGTGAGCCTGGTTTTGTTAGAGAAGTCTGGAGCATGTATTGAGATATAGCTTGTTCACCTGCACTTAAATTTTCTTTGCCCCTGAATTTTTTTGGTCTAGAAAAAGCAGATCAAAAGCTTTTCCCAAACCTATGCTATTTGACTAAACTTCCTCCCTGGCTGGGTTCAAGGGAGAATGGTCTAATATTGAGCAGTCTGCTAATGATGTCAACAAATGACCCACATCGGCTACTATGGAGCTTGGCAAAACTTACTGTGCCCTCTCTAATCGTAGGTTGGGTCACTTTCTGTGACCATCCTTGGCAGTTAATAGACCTTTCTAGCCTAGCAAGAACCACTTAACTTTTAGATAGCCTTGAAGTTAACTATTTGGGAGATACTGATTTAAATCTTGGTTTAAAATTTTTCAACTTAAATGATGACTTGAGGGCTTTACAGATTGTGATTTCATCCTCTAAGGATACCTCAGTTTCCACCAGAAAGTATTAAAGTACATTCCCCATTTTGGTTAACATGGATAAATACATGCATTTTATTTTTATTTTCAGCTAACTGGTGAATGGTTCTACCTGATAGCATGATCGTTTCTCAACTAACATGGTCTTGGTTTTCCTTCACAGAAATATGACCCAGATCTTTTCCGAATGGCTCTGCCTTGTCTCAGTGCTATAGCTGGGGCCTTGCCACCAGATTATTTAGATACCAGAATCGCAGCCACATTGGAGAAACAGATCTCGGTGGATGCAGACGGCAACTTTGACCCCAAACCTATCAACACCATGAAGTGAGTGCACAGTCATCTCTAAGCTGGTCCTAGTATTCTGTCCATTAACCAACGTTTTCTTTCAGAAGGTAGCAAGAAATTTAAGCTTCCCCTCTTTCTCTCCTGCCAACACTGTTCATTTCCCTTGACATTATAAGTCACATCAGGTACAAGGTTTAATCCATACGTATCTGATTATATACTGTATTATTCTGTGATTTTGGGGGGAGGGGAGGGTTGGTTTATTTATTATGAGAGACGGATACTTCCATAAATAAATGTCGCCTGAGGCATTCAGAGAACCACCCTGACAAATTATGCAATTAATTTATTAATGAGTTTTTTGACAAAATCTTTGCTGTTTGTGAATTAGGCCTGTATAGTTCTAATAGCATCGTACATCAGAACAGCTCCATAAATAACACTCAGCTGAGCTCTGGTGAAGCCTCGGGTGTGATGGCAGAACCCAGTGTGGGGTCCTTATTTTAGAGGCTGGACCTGCTCTTTGCCATGCCGAAGGATGCTGGAACTTTGGAGTAATCCTACAATTCTGCCTTTTCATTTCTCCCCATGAGTCTCTAGAATTCCTCCCTGGTGTAGATAGCCCATGGAGGTGTATTTATCCTTTGGGAAAAGTATTGCTCAGTTTTGGTCCGTCGTTCTGCCCCAGTTGTGAATGTGTGTCATAGGGTATACAGTCATCTCCAGGTGCGTTTTAAATGGATAGCTCCAAAACTGCTTCAGAATGAGCAGGGAAAGTAAAACTGATTCTATATGAGCCTCTTGTACTTGTGTTTGGTGGCAGCAGTTCTCAAATAAGAGCCTGAACATTTCACCAGGGGGCTGTTGGCTTTGATAATATTTAAAATTCATCTTTAGGATAGTTAAGCACGCATTCCGCTGGACAGAACCTTGTGCTGCGGGGATGGTGGGAGACAGATTGAACTTGCTGTAAGGAGGAAGTAAGGAATGTGGCAGACCATCCAGCTGGGGCCAGAGGAAAGGTGCTAACTTTGGAGAACTCGGCCTATAAAAACTTCAGCTAAGTGTGCTGAAGGGTGACAAAGTAAATGGTGTAATAACTTGGATGCTTTTATAAACATGAGACAACATTATACTCTGGCAATTGTGAGCTGAGTGGTTCTGTGTTATTTTGGAAGTTCTGATTTCTTTAGGTGTACCTCTGACCTCAGTAAGGTTCTTTAAGGAATGTGAGAAATGGAGACTACCTCTGGCTAACTTAAGGATAAAAGCACCTTATTGCAAGAATATGGGGTCACTCTCAAAACCTAGTGAAAGGCTAACTGGTCCTCAGCAAGGACAGGCCCCAGGGAAGGACTGGCATCAAGGCACAGTGACCAAATGGACAATCTTCAGGGGCCCTCATCGGGCGAATCACCTTGAAGAGCTTGCTGCCCTTGTCCCTCTCAGCTCAAGATTCCAGTCCTAAGGAGGTAGCATCTGATTTGCCTGGTCATAGGCCCATCCTTGGTGACAGTCCACAAAACAGTGCGTGCAACACAGGAAGGTGATGCAACATGAAGGGAAATGGAGGTGCCGATCCCAACAGAAGGGCTAAGAGCTGCTGGGCAAGCAGAGGTGACAGATGTCTACTGTACTTCCAAAATTCTAGTATTTAACCATGAGCCGCTGGACCCCAAAAGGTAGACAACAACTATTTTGTAACATATGGTCCTCTGGCTACGCATTTCTGCCATTCCCAGGTTGGAGCCGTAGGGTGAAAGGCCAGTTATTTTGGTTAAAGGTATTCTCACTGCCTAACCTGGACAGGCCTCACCTAGGAGCCAGGAGAACCCAGAGCAGATGGCAGGGGCCACCTGTGCAGCAGAGGCTTCTGCAGAGCAGCCCATGGTTAGGCCTGGGTGTGTGTCTGTGACCTGAGCCCGTCTGTGCCACTCCTGCTCAGCAAAGTCACTATGTCCGGAGTGTAGCTTCAGCTTTGGGGTTAGCTGGTTGATCAAATCCATCTTCTGACCACTAGTTCTGACTGTCTTCTGCCATGTCTGGCTAAAGTGCTTGGGAGGTTGTAATATTTTTTTCCTTGTTTCACAGTTTTTCCTTGCCTGAAAAATTGGAATACATCGTCACCAAGTATGCTGAGCATTCACATGATAAATGGGCCTGTGACAAGGTAGGGATTATCATCCAACTGACAGTTGTCAGGGAGAAAAAATCACCCAAGAACGTTAAAGGTCCAATTCTGGAAATCTGCCTGATTTGTCTAAGTGACAGACTCACCATGCCAAGAGCATTCATTATTTCTGAGCAGCAATTTCCCAGAGTTGGTGGAGGTCAGAGAAATAGGCAGTGGCAGCTGCCAGTGCCGCTTTTGTAGTTTTCAAGAAATGATCGATTTTGGAAGTGTTAACGTCTTTCTTAACATCGTACTTGCTGGAGTTTGTGCCCAAGCTTGTGTGTGTTGGACATAAATGCTTCCCGGGGATGGGAGGCTTTATTTATTTACTTTCTTTGAATACAGCGTCGGAAAAGGAAAAATGAAGAAAGCCTTACCCTTGCATTTTTCTAGGAAGCTGAATTTTATTTTAGGGAAGATACACAATCATCTTCCTATGGTAGACAGTGGTAGAACCTCCAGACACTCCCTTATTAATAAGCCTGTCCATCTGGTGTTTAAAATTCCTCACCCCATGAGGTCAGGCTGCTTAATAAGTTTAATTGCTGTGTCAGCCCTTTAATACTGGCAGGCAAAGTAGAAAGACTGTGCCAAAGACATCCAGGACTCCTGTGGGCAGCCAGTTAAGGACTGGGGCCATTACTCAGCTGCAGCCATGGAGTGTAACAGGACCCATCCCCACAGCAAAGCCACAGAAAACAACCTCTACGCAGTGTGCCCTCAGGTAGCGGATGCCTGGAACCACCGGCTCAGGTTCTGTGTAGATCTGGGCTCAGCTCTTCTCCTCTCCTGAGTCCCTGTTAGGGAGAGATGGTAATGACAATCATTGTGACTGTAGAATGGGCTAATCCCTCATAATTCTAGAGCAGGAGTTGGCAAACCTTTTCTGTAAAGGGACAGATAATAAATATTTGAGGCTTTGTGGGCCAGAGACAGTCTTCATTGCAACAACTCACCTCTGCTGCTGTAGTACAAAAGTAGCCATAGACAAAACATAAACAAAAGAGGGTGCCTGTGTTCCGATAAAATTTTATTAATTAAAAAAACAGGTGGTCAGCTAGATTTGGCCCAAGGGCCATAGTTTGCTGACTCTAGAGCATCTGTGTTTTCTAAGAACTCTTTACATATGATCATTCAGCCAGCTCATGAATTAGGGAGAACAGACATCTCCATGACTCCATAGCAACGGCCAATCCATCACTAAACCATGTGGATTTTACCTCCTGAGTCTTTCTTGAATCTGGAGAGTTCTCTTTAGCCCTATGCCATGTCAAAGCAGCCATCATCTCTCACCCAGGCAATGGGGACAAGCTCCCTACAGGTCTCCTCACCTGCATTTGCTCCAGTCTGTTCTCCACGCTGCAAGCAAGTGAGGGTTTCACTATGCAGATTTGGTCATATTCTACCACTGCTCCTCCTGCCCAGCCCCTTCTCCTTGTTAAAATCTTTTAATAGTATCTAACTATTCAGAATAGAAAGGTCAACATTCAGTATTCTGAATGTGGCCCAGTACGTAATCTGATCTCTGCTACCATCTCTAGCCTCCTCTCTTCCCCGACCCCTGCCCTCCAGCCACCCTCTCTGTGTCACCCACACATGCTGCATGTGCCTGAAACCCTCCTCCATCTGAGCCAGATACCCTCCTGCACCCACACAGGTGCACACGGCATTCACCAACTCATCCTGCAAACGTCAAGGCAGGTGTGATTCCCGGGGTGGAGCTTTCCCAGATTTCTCCACTATAGCACCACGTTCTTTAAAGTACTTTCACAGCATTTTTATATATTTGTATTTAGGACAGATACACATGTATACATTTATTCTGGTTACCAATTGTACATTTCCTAGTGTGGTTATTTGGTAAATATCTCTTCCTGCCCCTAGACTGTAAGTTTCGTGAGGGCAAAGATACACATGTTTGGTCACCACTGCCAGGGACCACTGATTATCTAACAAGAAAAGTAGTGTTTTCCTGGCCCTCAAACCCTCGCCATCTTGGAAGAAACAAAATGAACCAGCCATTGTGGGACAGGTTATTCAGAGCTGTAATGGGCACAGGCATAGGGCTAGAACACACAGGAGTCCCAAATCCAGTGTTGGGGGTCCAGGAACACCTCGTAGAGCTGGTGACATCCACAGCACGTGCTAACAGATGACCAGGGCACTCATCACAGGCAGGTGAGTGTACTGCAGGCCTCAGGAGCAGCAGGGTGGACACAGGGAGGCAGGAGAGAGTTTGGTGGCTTTAGGGAACTGTGGTTCGGGATAGCTAGGACATGGAGGAGGGTGGGAGAAAAAGAGGAGTCTGGAGAGGTCAGCAGGATCATCTTGCTAGGTTTGGAAGTCATGTGAAAACATTTGGGTTTTACCAGGATGGCAGCTGGCAGTCAGAAATTTTGAAGCAGTAGAGTGCCCTGATCAGGGTGAGTTTTGAACCCCCTGACAGTAGTGTAGAGAATGAGTCCATGGAGAAGAGGCTCGGCTGGAGGCAGGGAGCTCTCGCGGCAATCCCAGTGAGCGCTGATGCTGCCCTGCGCTAACATAGTGGCAGGGAAGCAAGAGACAGACAGACAGACAGACAAGTGCTGTGAAGGGTGCAGAGCAGTGGTGTCCGGGAGGAATCCCACAGTGCTGGCTTGGAAAGTGAGTGTAAGCTGGGGCTGTTCACTGAGATCCAGGGAACCCAAGAGAAGGAGACATTCAGAGACGTTAAACAGCCAGGTTCTGCTTCAGACACGTGGAGAGGTACCTGTGGAACATCCGAGCAAAGCTTAAGAGGGTTTGGAAGTTAGGAGTGAGCTCTGGGCAGGAAGTATGGATTTGGTATCAGTCACTTGTCGGTGGTAACCGAAACCGTGGGCCTAGATTAGACCACCTAGGAAGTGAAGAGGGACAAAAACTTGGGAAATACATACTTGTAACAAACGGACAGAAGCCCAGTAGTCTTTGGGTCTGCAGGGTTGTGGGACTCAGGGTCTCACTTTTATCTCTGTGTCCATGGTGCCTGGGACAGCATCTGGCACATACTACAGAAGGCTTTCACCCAATATTGATCACGTGACTGCTAAAGTTCCTAAACTTCCATCACCCTACGAAGCACGAAATACTGCAGCTTTGCTTTTGGGTTGGCAGGCAAGGGGTGGGCCAGTCAGCCCCTCCGCATGGGCAGTAGGTCCAGCCCTTTGAGCCTTGCCTCTGTTCTTCCTGTGAGTGTGACCACTGACCTGAGAAGCACTGTTCTCAGGGCCTCGTGAAATATCTTTCTGTTTTAAGTGGGCCTGAAATGCAAGCGAGAAAGTGGCGAGGACAGCAGCTGACACATGAAAGAGTGGAGAACAGAGTTCAGGATGCAGGGGGCAGAGAGCCTGCCAGCCTGAGAGGATCAATTAGACGTTTCTAAGGGCAATTTCCAAGCTCTGTCACTACCCATTCTTCCGTTTGTTCAACGAAAATAGAAACAGGGATTTGGGTCACATATCAGGGCTCTGTGAGTGCCAAGGATATTTAACCTGAAAATATTCCTACAGACTCAGAGCGGGTGGAAGTATGGGATTTCCCTGGATGAGAATGTGAGGACCCACCCACTGATAAGGCCTTTCAAGACATTAACGGAAAAGGTAAGAACAGGGCGTCTGATAACACGACATGCTGTTTCCTTTCTTGGGAATTATATCTGATGCTCAGAGGAGTTCAGAGCACATTTACTCTCAAGTTCCTTGAAGACATTCTAGGACTCATTAGCTTGCCAGTGGACAACAGCCCCAGGACCACATGCTGTTCTTTGTCTCTGAGAGCCCACTGGAGAAAGCAGCTCTGTTCAGCTCTTGTGGTCTGGGCCAAAATGCATTTGTAGTTCTCTTGCAGTTGAACTAAAGGGAGGGGTTTTGTTTGATTATTGGGGGCTGCTGGGTGTGGGGAGAAGGGACAATGAATTGCTGGAGAAAATTCAGACAAAATTGATTTCCAACACACGGAAGTTACAGGGAGTAGAGAAATGAGTCCCCAAGGAAATGTGAACAAGTCTGTTGCTTTTTTTTTTTTTTTTTAAATTAATAAATGTGATTCAACTCAACTCTGAATTCTTACTTTGTGATCAGTAGGAGTTCTTTGTGAACTCTAGGCCGAGCATCACATGTAAAGAATGGTGCATGTATCTTTGTATACATATTGACCACCTGTGAAATTGTGCATAGATCAAAAGAGAATTCTAAGAAATTCTGTTTCCCAAGCTTTAAGGAGAGCTTTGTGCAGATGCATTTTGACAATATCTCATCTTCAATAGCTATAAGAACATGAGGAATCCCTCTCCTGTTCTCGTTCTTCTTTCTCCACAAAATGCAAATAATGTCATTAATAATGTCTGGCACATTTCCTCTGAGGGCAGGAGTCGTAGTGTCTTATACTTAAAAACATCAGACAGACTGCATGTTTAAGGTGAGATGCTGCAAAGGGTCTTTTGACCTAGTAAAAGAAAGCTAGAGCTAACTAGCACCCCTGTCCACTGTGGGACCCTTCCATGGAGAGGAGTACTAGTCAGAATGCTGGGTGTGTTCTACAAAGTTCTCCTGCTCACATTCTCTTCCAGGAGAAGGAAATTTATCGCTGGCCTGCCAGGGAGTCCCTGAAAACCATGCTGGCTGTGGGCTGGACTGTGGAGAGGACCAAAGAGGGGGAAGCTTTGGTTCAACAGCGGGAAAATGAGAAGCTTCGAAACGTGTCCCAGGCCAGCCAGGTACGACACCACACCCAGAGGCTGCTGCAGAATCTGGGCCAAGTCTCCCTGGGGCATCATAGATGGGGCCACCTGAGATGAACCCTGGGGATTTTTCAGGACACAACTTTGACGGCTGAAGGTGGGGTCGCTGATAAGAAAGAGGAAAAGAATGGCAAACCCAGTGACTCTGCCTTTGCATTCCTAGGGCAACAGCTACAGCCCTGCTCCCCTCGACCTCTCGAACGTTGTGCTCTCCAGAGAACTCCAGGTCAGTGTTGACACTTTCAGAACAGCATGACTTGCTCTCTCAAACCCCTGCAGTGCAGGATATATTATAAGAGTTAAAGGGAAAAAAATAAAAAGAATGCCTAGAACAGACCACCACTGAAATATCAAAACTGCAGACATTGTGCAGAGGCCACAGGGAAAGTCCCAGCAGAATTAGCCAGTCACCCAAAATGCGGTAGCTTTGCACTTGTTCCAAGAACATTGTAATGGCAATGACTAGTTAAAGGAAGAGCAGCCAGCACAATATAGTCATCCCTCTGTATCCATGGGGATAGGTTCTAGGACCTCCTGCAGATACCAAAATCCAGGGATGCTCAAGTCCCTGACATAAAATGGCGCAGTATTTGCATACAACCTACACACATTCTCTAGAGATTAAATCATCTCTAGATTACTTATAATTCCTAATACAATGTAAATGCTATGTAAATGTTTTATGCTATGTTGTTTAGGGACTAATGACAAGAAAAATTAGTCTATACATGTTCCGTGCAGATGCAATTTTCCTCTTAATATATTCAGTCCACAGTTGGCTGAATCCATGGGCGCAGAACCCATGGAGAAGGAGGACCGACTGTGCTGTATCAAAACACAAAAATACATAAAACAGCTAGGAGGAAATCCGTGAAACCTGCCCCCTGGGTGGAGATGCTTGCCTGGTCCTTATAAGTCCCACAAACCAAGAGGGCAGCCCACATATCCCATAGTGGATTTGCTCAAGTTCCCCGTGATGGTGCAGGCAAGCAATTGTTGCAGGATATGGGGACGTAAAACCAAGAGGACAAGCTAAATGCCCTAAGCTGCTTCCTCCCGTTGCTCCCCTCCTGCACACATTGGTGGCTGTGGCCCGCCCCAGCCCAGGGCACTCACCCCTCTGAGAATCCGTCAGATCAACCCCTTGGACCTTAGAGAAAGTTTCTTTCCAAGATGCCTCCTTCATTCTCAGTCACTGTTTTATGAGCCTTACAAAGACCTATTCTATTTGAGAAATCTTTACAGCAGTTTCCTCCAAAATGTGACTATTTTTAGTTTAAGCCAAAGGCTTTCAGGAGTTCTAGACTTTTGCATGCACCACACTGCTAACTCCTAGCTCAGGTCAGGAGTGTGATACTGAACTCCTGTGACAGATCATGAGTACCACTGTGCAGTTTTAACTGGAAATGGGTGTTTTTCACGCATGCATCCAACTGCCAGGATAATAAGCTACAAGGGAAGGACGGAATTAGAAATTGTTTTCTGTGTGTATGAGAAGATATAAAACTAATGAGGTACATAAGCACAGACTAATGAATGATGGGAGGCCCTCCATGGTGTGCTGTTAGCGTTTAGTGGTGCGCTGTTCCCAAGACTGCCAGAAATAGCCTGCCATGTAGGAAGGGGTTTTTCTTGCTTGCTTTCTGTCTGACTTGTGTCTCCTTGGTGGGACACAGGGCATGGTGGAGGTCGTGGCTGAGAACTATCATAATATCTGGGCCAAGAAGAAAAAGCTGGAACTGGAGAGCAAAGGTGAGCCTAGTTCCCAGTATCCCCCAGAGAAGCTGAGCTGGGAGTGGGCATGTTCTCCCAAAAGCTCAAAGGAAGAGCCACATATGTTGTCTCTCTCACCTTACTGACCCAGGTGGTGGCAGTCACCCTCTTCTGGTGCCATATGACACCTTGACTGCCAAGGAAAAGTTCAGGGACCGAGAGAAGGCACAGGACCTGTTTAAATTCCTCCAAGTGAATGGTGTTATAGTTTCTAGGTAAGTCATCTTCCGCGTGATGTCAGTGAGGCTGGGGTGTGGGTATGGTCTCTGACCCTCCAGGTCTTAATCACCTGCCTACAAAACCCAGCAAAGTAAGGGCAGCAGTGGAGTCTTTTGAAATGAGAACTTTTCTTTATTTTGGAGCATGAAGCCTCCTTTTCTGACATAAACAGGAAGGGTAGGTATCCATTTTTAAAGATCAGTTACAGCAAAGAATTATGACAAATTATACTAGCATATCTTAAACATTTAATTTTAACCTAAAATGTATAAACATGCATTCATTCACAAATCTTGTGCTACAGGCCAAAGCCCTTTCTTTGTTCTAGGGATTGGAGTTATAAATGACATCCATAATACATCCTCAAAGCTTTGAAATTTGTGCTTCTTTAAAGAACAATGAGAATTTGAAGCACGTGAAAACAATATAAATGGAGTATTCTAGATATTTTTAATTTCTTTCCCTGTCTTTTATTGTTGTCTCACTCATACCTAATTCAAAAACTATATATCTGGAAGCTTGCAATTGCATGTCTTTGCAAAATATGCAACTTGGTTTTGTTAGAATAAACAGTTCTCTTCCCACCCTTATGTTGTTGTATTATGTAATATTTTATTAAATTGCAAAATACCAATAACAGGTATAACTGACATAAACAGTCTTTGAACAAAGGGAATTGATTCTTACGAAGATGCCCTGTACTAGAGAGATTGAACACATTGTGATTTCCTAAGATGTTTTATCTCAAACTTATATAAGTCAAAATTACCTAGATGAATGTTTTATATAGGATAGTCTTGGCTGCTTAAGTCTTAAAGGTCGAATCTGTTTTCTCCCTGGTCAAATGTTAGTGGTGGGCTGTGCTATATAGGATCATGCTTACCTGGGTCCTTGTAGCATGAAAAACAAGCTAGTGTTCGTTTCTATCCTGCTACAGCCATTCCTCCTAAAAGCAATGTTTGCTGAGCAAGCTGCTGTTTTTTTTTTCTTTTAGTTTCCTGCAGAATTTTTGCCATTGAATGGCAAAAATAAAAATAAATAAAAATCTATACAAATATTTCTATTGTATCTTATATGAAAAAATAACAAGACTTATTTGCCATATTGTCGAACAGGAAAGGTCAGACAGCAGGAGACAGCCTCCGGGGAAGCATTCGAGAAAGACTCTCATCGTCATTTTAATCCTGTTCTTAACACCAAGATAAATGTGTAATGTGATTTGCTGATAAATAACTTGCTCACAGCAATGAAAAATTCCCTTTTTCTATAACTAAAAAGGAAGTCAAGGAAATAGGAGAATCAAGGAGAAAGATAATTGAATTCAGCAAACATATCTGAGTAGTAATTTACCATGTACAGGGCCCTGTGGCAGGCACTTGGATGTGCAGATGATCAGGCGAGGTCCCTGCACCAAGGAGAACTCCTAGCTTCCCCCTGCCCCTGCCTCAGACTTGCTCTGTCTTCAGCTTCCCCATCATTCAGTGGCAGCCCTTTCTTCCAGTTGCTCAAGTCGAAAACTTTGACTCCTCTTTTTCTCCCAACCCACATCCAATCCTTCAGGAAATCCTGGTGGTTCGACCTTTAAAATATATCCAGAATCTGTCCACGTCTCACCCCCTTCATGCTATCACCATCCTTGCTGAGATAGCTTCCTACCTGGGCTCCCTGCTTCTACCCTTGCCCTGCTGTCCATGGTCCATTTTAAATTTAGCAACCAGGGAAATTCTGTTATAATGTAAGTCTTATCATGTCACTCCTCTGCTCAAAACTTCCAATAGCTTCCCATCTCACTCAGAGCAAAAGCAAAATTCTAAGGATGGGCCACAGGGCCCTGAAAGATTTGTTTCACTTCCCCCCACACACCCTTCTGACCACACTTCCATTCGACCCACACTGGCCTCTCTGCCATATTCCTTCAACTCAGCATGCACACTCCTGCCCCAGGATCTTTGCACTACCTGCTCCTGTGCCTGCAAAGCTCCCTCCTCAGAAGTCCATATGGTTCATCTCCTTCAAGCCTTTACTCCAATGTCAGTCTCACAGTAAGACTAACCCTGACTATCCTATTTAACATTAAAGTCTGCAAACCCTCATTCCTCCACTCCTGCACCTTTTCATTCTGCTTTAATTTTTCTTTTTTTCCATGAAATGTATTAAATTCTAGCATTCCATCTAATTTGTATTTTGTTCATATTTGTTTACTGTAGCCAGTATGTACGTGCCTTCCATAAGAGCAGGGATTTTTGTTTTCTCCTCCAACTTATCCCCGGCTCAATACTTGTTGTATAAGGTCTTTCTGAAAAATCTTTTCAGAAATTATCATAGAACAGGCATTACTCGCTTACACAGGCAGGTTCCTAGTGCAGGGGGAAATCAGTCATGTCACTAAGCCAGAATAACCATTATCATTTGGAAATTAAATTCAACACTGGTAGGATTGATGATGTACCAAAGTCACGTGGTTATCTCTGTTACTTCCTGGGGTTTGCCTATTTCCAACCTAGAGGTATGAAGGATATGGAGCTGGATGCCTCCTCCATGGAAAAGAGATTTGCCTATAAGTTTTTGAAGAAGATCTTGAAATATGTTGATTCTGCTCAAGAGTTTATTGCCCATTTGGGTAAGTATCATTGTGAAATATCACAAAAGAATTTGATATTCCTTTATCAACGAAGGATCCTTTCATACTATAACTGTTCAAGATTCATTTAGACATATGGTTTTGGAGGGAAAGGAGTGGCTGATATTTCCTCCCCCTTCAAAAAAATCAATTTGGTCCTTAGCTTCCCTACTGGATTGAATTGAACCTTTTGTCATTGTTTTCATACAACACATCTGAGTTTAACTTTTCCATTGTTTTGCTTTGTGACTATAGATGTATGACTCAACCTCTCTGAAGCTGCTTTCTCATTGCTAAAGTAGAGAAAAGGGTAGTGAAAGAGCTTAGAGAATTGGATATAAGAAATAACTAATCAGCACAATTGTAAAGTACTTTGTAAAATATAAGAAATTTTGTGAAATCAAATAGCCTTTTTATGGCCTTTTGAAAAGCTGCTCTGTTTCTAAAATGCTGTGATTGTTTTTTTGTTTTTTAACTCTGGCCAACTTTGTATTACCCGTGTCTTTGTAGAAGCCATTGTCAGCAGTGGGAAAACTGAAAAATCTCCCCATGACCAGGAGATCAAATTCTTTGCCAAAGTAAGTGGCTTTCTACACTTAATCAAAATGTTCTCTTCTTAGGATCTCCACTATTTAGGGCACAGGGTAGCTGATCCAACAGAGATACCTAAAACTCTGATAGCTTCTGTGAGTTGGATGCATGTTTCTCTGTGTGGGACAGTCCTGAGGCAGGTGGGTGGTCCGAGCCTGCTCATCCCTATACCATCCCCCAGGGACCCTGGTTCTTCCTCCCTTGCTGCTCCACTATCTCCAGAGCTATGGTCCATGTCAGGGTGGTCCAGGCTGGCTCACCTGCACTGCATCTGTGGGAAAGGGGAAAAGAAGAAGGAGAGTTGAGTGGGGGGAGCTACTGCTTTTTAAAAGTTCTATCCTAGTGGCTAGAACTTAGTCATTTTATTATAGCTTCATCTATTTGCAAGGGAGACTGAGTAATGCATTCTCTAGCTGGGTGATTCTCTACGCAGTTAAAACACAGGGGGTTCTAATGCTAAAAAAGGGGAAAATGAATGTGGGTGCCAGTGAGCAGTCTCTTCCACACAGCCCTACTCAGAGGACTAAAGACATAGAAGGCCTTGAGTAGCCTTGCTCTGAGAAGCAGAGACGGAACACTTGAGGCTGATGTTGCTAGGCCATGCCTCCAGTGTACCTGTTGGATGCAATGCTCAAGAAGCCACTTCTGAGTGCAGGTGTCCCACAAGGCTCCCCTGCAAATGCTGACCCAGGGCTGCATGCACATTTCTTTCGGCCCTTAGTTGATGGCCCTCTCCTTTCACATAGCCCCAAGGCCTCTGGTTTGAGACATGGAAGAAGAAAATGTGATGGAAACTGGGTAGAATTTCCTGAAAATTCCAGAGTCAGTGTTCACAGGCTTTTTGCTCACTGAAACTAAACTTTATAAAATGAACCAGAGGAAGGGCTTTGGCTAGCTTTCCAGAAGTTTGTTTATGCTGGGTTTTCCAGGTCCTCCTCCCACTGGTTGACCAATACTTCACCAATCACCGCCTCTACTTCCTGTCGTCCCCTCTGAAGCCCCTTAGCAGCAGCGGGTATGCCTCCCATAAGGAGAAAGAAATGGTGGCCAGGTGAGTCTGCAAGAGAAAGAAAAGGTCGTGGTGCTGATGTGATTTATTTAAAACGCCAGGTTCCTGGAGACTTAAATGGTGAGTCTTTTGGAGAAATGGAGCAGAGCCTGATGATTGGTAGCTCAGGGGAGTTGGTTATCATCTTGGTTTTGAAAGAAATGATTTCCATACCTGTCTGTATTATTCTAGCAACTAAGAGAAGGGCCGTGTTTGGGAGTGTCGGTGGGGCTTGGGAAAGATCTGTATACTCAAGTCAACATCCATCCTGAAACACCCTTTAGAAGAGGAGGAAGATCATCATGAAGCTTGGGAAATGCAAACACACAGCACTGAGAACAAACTTAAAATTTTTTAAAAGAATCAGATCTTATTGTGGATGATCTGAAATTTTAAAATCTAGAACAACATAATTCAATTTAAATTCCCAATAGGAAAATATTTTTTCATCAGAAGCACCAGCCTGCCTACTCATTCCAGTAGGCATAACGTGCAGATACCTTAACAGGGATGAGAACAGAGGGATGCGTCCTGATCAGGCTACGTACGAGATGATCCCACCATGCCTTGGGTTCTCTGTATTTGATTAATGAAGGACATGGAATGGGGTAGACTTCTAGATAGCAAAGAGTTAAGGACTCCAGTGTTAGTAGGCTATCAACTCTTTCCCGAGCGTCTATTGGCAGTGAACAGTGTACGTTATACTGTTAAGGGCCCAGCCATTAAATATCACCATCTTTGAGACGATATTCAACTTTTGGATTCAGCTAAAATTTATTAAACAGCATGGCTAAGCAGTGAGCTCAGTTTTTCATACATAAGACTTATTGCCCATTTGTCTATGTAGCATGTGAAGCATTACATCGTTTCAAATTCTAAGAACTGTGTATTGTTGATCTCCATTTTGCAGATGAGGAAACTGAGGTTCAGTCAGGTTCACCCCGGTGCCCAAAGTGACCCAGGTCTTAAGTTAGGCCAAGTATAAAAGCCCAGTCCCCTCTATCCACATCAAATGCTATTTGTGCTGTACTGTAATTGCTTTTTTCACTTAAAACAGGAAAAGCCTCATGCTATCAAAATGAGATAGCTTAGAATCAGGTACTGATCGAGATCACCTAAACATTGTCAGAATGCACCAGTGTATTTTGTTAGAAACTTGGAGAATGATGGGGAAAGTGAGATATATATTCAGATAATCCAATGGAGGGTAGATGTGCCTGTCTTCTTCATCTATTTTTCTTAGATTATCAATTCATGGAAATGTAACATTTGTTCAACCAGGCACCATTTAGTGCAGCTGGAATACAACCTAGAGCTGATCAGCCTTGCAAATAGCTTTCAGATCATCAGTGTGCTTGCCGCCATCCCCCAGAAGCGGTTTGTGTTTGCACTGGATGTGTTCACATCGCCAGGCTCCTCTCGTTGGCCTCCTTCGCTGTTGTTCCCCCTCTTCTGCGTCTGATGCTGCCCACCTACGGGTCCCACACTCTCCTTGGGGGCCCTTTAATTTATTGCCTTTGCATTCTGAGATGAAGGAGAGGTGCCGGGGGACTCTGGCCCCTTATAACTCTGGGCTAAGGACAATGCTTTCACTTAAACCATGGGCTCCATAGGGGACAAGCAGGAGCCTTTGGAAATTTCAGGTCCTACCCCTGACATGCCTGAGAAAACACTTCTGATAGTGAAGAGAGCCCTGTTAGTATTAGGATCAAACAACCCAGCTATCTCCTTTAGGTAGAAAAATATTATTTTGTTTTTATATAGAATGTGTGTCCACTTAGAAGCATTTTTGCCAGAAATTTGAGTATATCCAGCCCTGATTCTGAAAACTTAGAGAGTCATATGACTGATTACTCTCTATTTATAGTGAGAAAGCTAACACACGGAGCAGTTAAGGGGCTGCACCAAGATGGCCAACTAATCGTAGGCAAAGCCACAGAGCCCACGTTCACCAGGGGCTGTCCCTCTTTCCCAACACCCTGAATTTGCATCACATACACATCTCTGAAAAAACAAACACCATGAGAGCAGAAAAAGAAGAAGCAATTGATACTTAATTTTGCCCTGGGTGGCTGCCAAATTTCCATCAACTTATTATGAATTCTCTTAAGGTCAGGAGGTTTCAACTTATTTCCACTGCAAGAACAAATAACCAGTCACAGGGAACTTTGGTTGTGGTTTTCCAGTAGACAACCCAGAAAGACCCAGGGCATTCACTGAAAACCATTTAAAGGTGAGCAAATTTCCATCCCCTCCAACACTCAGGATGTATTCCTTCTCCATTTGAGTTGTCCTGTTGAGCTATGGTCCCCAACCCCCAGGCCGCAGACCGGTACCCATCCGTGGCCTGTTAGGAACCGGGCTGCACAGCGGGTGGTGAACAGCAGGCAAGCAAGGGACGCTTCATCTGTATTTACAGCTGTTCCCCATCACTCGAATCACCGCCGGAGCTCTACCTCCTGTCAGATCAGCAGCAGCATTAGATTCTCACAGGAGCGCAAAGCCTACTGTAAACTCTGCATGCGAGGGATCTAGGTTGTGGCTTCTTATGAGAATCTAATGCCTGATGACCTGAGGCAGAGCCAAGACAGTGATGCTAGCGCTGGGGAGTGGCTGCAAAAACAGATTATCATTAGCAGGAAGGTTTGACTGCACAGAGACCATAATAAATCAGTTGCTTGCAGACTCATATCAAAACCCTATCAGTGAATTAAGCTGCATCTAGTGGCAGGCTTTATAGTGGCAAGTGAGTTGATGTACTTCAATTGTACAGCTGCATCTGGTGGCAGATTTAAGTCAGAATCCAACACTTATTTTAGTCCACATGTGGCCTGATCATTATTTTATTTACCACTTCCATCCATGCCTCTTTCCCACACTGTGCACTTGTCTCAGTCACAGTTTTGGTAAGTCTACAAGCTAATCCTAGCAAAAAATAAACATTGCTAGACAGCTTCTTTGAATAGGGGAAAGATGCAATGGTGAGACAGCAGAAGACTCTCAGACTGCCAACAAAACGAAAGCTGCATTTAAAAGAAAATACCAAGAGTCCTACTTAAATTACGCGTTCATGCAATAGGTGATTCACATTCTCCAAGCCCACTTTGTATAGCATGTGGCGATCAGCTATCCAATGAAGCCATGAAACCTTCAAAACTGCTTCACCACATGGAGACCAAACACCCTGCTTTAAAAGATAAGCCTTTGGAGTTTTCAAAAGAAAAAAACATGAACATGAAGAACAGAAGCAATTACTGAAGGCCACCCCTTCATCAAATGTGTCTGCACTGCAAGCATCATTCACAGTGGCTACCGCATTGCTAAAGCTAAGGAGCCCTTTACTGTTGGTGAAGAGCTGATCCTGCCTGCTGCTAAGGACATTTGCCCTGAACTTTTAGGGGAGCCTGCAGTTCAAAAGGTGGCACATGTTCCTCTTTCGGATAGCACCATAACTGGACAAATTGATGAAATAGGAGAGGATATTGAGGCACAATTGCTAGGATAGATGAGTCACTGTGATATGCATCCAGGTTGACAACCCTACCGATGTTGACAACAAGGCAACAATGCTTGTTTTTGTGCGATACAGTTTTCAGGAGGATGTGCATGAGGATACGTTATGTGCACTTTTTTGGGGGGGAGGGGGCCAACCAACACCACAACTGCAGAACTATTAAAGTTTTTGATTGCTTATCAGGAAAACTTAATTGGTCATTTCGTGTCGGTATATGCATGGACGGAGCGGCTACCATGACTGGATGGCTTTCTGTTTTCACTACTTGGGGCAAAGAGGTCACTTCTGAATGTGAGTCTGCACACTGTGTCATCCATAGAGAAATGCTGGCTACCTGGAAAATATCACTTGAACTAAACAACATTTTGCAGGAAGTGATTACAATTATCAACCACATTAAAGTACGTGGCCTTAACTCATGTCTGTTTGTGCAGCTCTGTGAGAACATGGATGCAGAACACACATATCTTCTCTTACACACAGAAGTGAGATGGCTTTCTAAAGGTGAATCACTGGCCAGAGTTTTTGAGTTACAAGAGCCACTCCAGAGATTTCTTTTAGAAAAACAGTCACCACCGATAGCACATTTCAGTGACACAGAATGGGTCGCAAAACTTGCTTACTTGTGTGACATATTCAACCTGCTCAACAAATTCAATCTGTCACTTCAGGGAAGAATGACAACTGTGTTCAAGTTGGCAGATAAAGTGGCCGCATTTAAAGCCAAACTGGAATTATGGGGGTGACGAGTGAACGTTGGGATTTTTGACATGTTTTGAACATTAGCAGAGATTGAAAGAGACTGAGCCAGGGCCTTCTTTCTCCCAGCTAGTGCATGATCAGCTATCTCAGCTTTCAGGAGAGTTTGAGCATTACTTCCCAACCACAAAATACGCCCGAACTGGGAAGGAATGGATCCACGACCCATTTGTGAATAAGCCAGGCGAATCAGCTTTGTCCGTGCTCGTGATCAACTGCTCGAGTTCACAAATAATGGTGGCCTTAAGAGTATGTTTGAGACAACTTCAAATCTCCATACGTTCTGGATTAAAGTCAAGGCAGAATTATCCTGAGATTGCCACAAAAGCACTGAAAAGCCTGCTTCCATTTCCAACATCCTATCTTTGTGAAGCAGGGTTTTCTGCAGTGATAGCAACCAAAATGAGATTATGGAGTAGACTGGACATAAGCAACACACTTCAAGTGTCACTGTGTCCCATCACCAAGATGAGACCATCTAATTGCAGGCAAACAAGCTCGGGGCTCCCACTGATTCTGCATTGTGGTGAGTTGTATAATTATTTCGTTATATGTCACAATGTAATAATAGCAGAAATAAAGTGCACAATAAATGTCTTGTGCTTGAATCATCCCCAAACCATCTCCTCCTACCCCCGCCCTGGTCTGTGGAAAAATTGTCTTCCGTGAAACCAGTCCCTGGTCCCAAAAAGGTTGGAGACCACTGCTGTAGAGGAAATTCTGCCCTGAGTGGGACAAGGAGCCCCATGACACTGCAAGAGGCTGGGAATGACCTCAGCTCAGTCTCACCAGGGAACCCCATGGCCTGCACAGGTGGTTTTTATTCTCTTTTCCCTCTTTCTGTTCTGCTGCTTTCTGAAGGGATGGCAAAGTTCTTCTCTGCCCATGCCAATGTCAAATAATGTCAGCGTTCTGAGGAATCTCTTCCCAAGAGCATCAGCAACACAGGTCACACGATGGCCATCGTGCCCCAGGGGGGCTCCAGCAGCAGCACGTTCAGGAACGTGGATGGGGCCCCTTTCTAGCTGTACAAAGATCTCATTAGGCACCGTGGAAAGTAAAACAATGAGATACAGACGAACCTTCAAGGGGTTCCACAGTGGAAAATACAGATGAGAGCATGGAGAAGGGTCAGAAAACACAAAAGCATCACACATGAGCTTTCCTGGTTTCCAAGGATTCAGCTAGGACAGTAACCCAGTCAGACCGGAGACTGATGGGAAATGACAGAATTCAATGTTATTAGTTTAACACACTCTCACCTCATATCTAAACCATTAACATTTTCCAATCCCAACTTCTGGCCCACATGACAGCTAAAGCTTCACATCCCCAGATGAAGTCTAGAAAATGGTTTGCAATTCATTGCAACGATGGAAAAATGCTTCCTTCCAGAACATTCATTTATTCCTGAATGTCATACACATGAACACCTCAACACATGATACTCTGTAGCAAGGAAAGTTTGCCCCGGGTCAGTGAAAACTACTGCAGTAGTTGCAGAGGGATCGTTTTCAGTAAGGGCGACGCTGCCTGCAAGGTGCTTTCATGGTTCTCCACCAGGACGGTGTGCACCACACATTCTCCTGAGCGTGGTCCAGAGCGTTCTATGAAAGGAACGTAGTGCATCTTCCTAGAGTGCCAATTTGTGTTCTCTGTTTTACAGCATGGGGGACAGGGCAGGGATACAAATCATTAGTCCTTGAATCTCTGTGACTTTCTGAATTGCATTCTTTTCTGTTTCAGCCTATTCTGCAAACTCGCAGCTCTTGTAAGACACAGGATTTCCCTATTTGGTAAGTGGAGAGAAGTATTGCTAAAGTCTGCACTCCTCCCTGTAATTAAACTGAACTTGCATTTTGCCTTTATTTGTGGTTTCCTCAGACAAGCTGAGCCTTGGGACTACGGTGTCACCTAAATTTGCCATAGAAAATTGGTCCAAAGCATGATAAATGACCTCTCTACCCCTTTAACTGCACAGATTTTCCACACCAATGACTGTTTTAAGCTCTGCCTCTGACATCCATCGTGAAGCCCAGGCTGTGTCAGGCCAGAGACTAATGCAGTGTCCCTGAACGTGGGCCTGGGACTTTGTGTGTTGGTGGTTAATTATGCTGGGCTCTGGTTTGTGCATGTGGAGAAGATTGAATTTAAAAGACAGGCTGAGTGGTTTTTGGTGTCACAGGTGATATCTTTTATTCCAGGGAGTGATTCTTCCACAATGGTGAGCTGTCTTCACATCTTAGCTCAGACACTTGACACAAGGTAAGTCTGCCCAATTTTTTCCAGTAGTTTCTCCTGGCTCCCTCTCATCTCATCTCACTAATTACTGTACTGAAGAGAAGCCGAGATGGGGCAAGGATGAGTCCGACCCTAGAAGTTGGCACTCTGTTTCTCAGTCCACGTGATGCGGAGCTGCTGTCATGACATAGACTAAGCACTCAGGGCTGAGCATTTGATCAGTTCTCATCTCCTCTTACTGAGAAGTTCATCTTTCAGAAAACACCATATATACTGTGGCAGAGTGCCACTTCGTACCTGATTCTCCGCAAAAACGGAAGAGCTGCCAGATGGGTGGTGAGACCACAGGCACCGGGGGACAGATGAATGACAGCACACTGAATTCAAAGTGGCCAACGCAGTAAATGCAGGGAGATCTCGTTTCAAAAGGATCAGAGAAAAGGATAGATTTTGAGCCCATGGCCTGGGGCTCTGAGAGGAAGTCTTAAAAATAATACTTAAATTCTGGTAACATTAACATAAATGATGTTATTAAAAAAGAGAGTCGTATTATAGTAAAAAGAACTGACAGGGAGCTTTTTTTAAACACCTTCATTAAGAAGGCCCCTTGTCGAAGTTGGGAGGTGGCCACCCCTCCCAAGACCCAATGCAGAAGAAAGGCACCAACCCAAAAGATTGGCCCAAAGGTAAAAAATCTATGGTGAACTGAGAATGGCTACAAAAAGAAAAGGTTAAGGACCATTAAAGGGAATTTTAGGGTTTTTGAGAGAAACATGTTGTGGAGATGTTAGAGTAGCACAAAGTTTGCAGGGTCAGACCCAGGCATCCCAGCCTACGGAAATCACTTGCCATTGGGATGAGGAATCTTTACTCCAAGAAACGTGTAGAAAGCCTTGGGAGAGAGTCTAGTTTTTTAAAAAATGCAGTTAGTATGCTTAGTAATCATTTCTGACAAAATCTGTGACTAGGAGGTTAGGAAGTGAATGCTCACAGGATAAGATTGAGCCGCGCTGACTTACATTTCCTTATTTTTATTGTCCCCATGGGTTGGATGATTACCAGGAAAATGGTGTAGATAAAAAACGTCTGTCCTGGAGGCAAATCTGTCACAATGTTCTGAATAAGATACAGAAATATGGAAAATTATAGATGACTTGCAGGCTTTGTTCCAGTTCTAAGTTTTGTAATACAGTTTTGAGGGAAAGCCTCAAATGCCCGTAGCTAATCTCCATTCCCACAGGACACATTTCAGTGTTGTTTTTCCAGTGGTCTATTAAGCTGTTTTAAAAGGGCTAGCTGTCCCTTTTCTCTCCCCTCGTCCAACCCAGGACATTCCCGCAAACTAACAGAGAGCTAAGCTGCAGTTGACGTGTTTCCTTGCTCTTTCTCTCTCTTTATAAGAGATCCTATATCAGAATGGTTCATGTTTCTTGCTAGTCCTTCAAAAAGTTGCTTAACCTACAGTGAGCTGCAAGAAAAGCTCACCTCCCCATCCTTTTGATTAGCTATTTACAGAAAACTAGCCAGCCACAGCTTTCTATAGGCAGCAGGTCACCAATATCAGTTTCATTCTAAATTGTTGCCTACATCTCCTGAAGAGCTGAGTGATAATTCTCTCAAACTGAGTACTCTGACCGGTCGCTAGCCTCTTTGAGATTATGTAATCTGGGTTTCTTCCTGGATGTTAACTGTTCTCTCCATTTCTACTGACACAGTGTGGTCAGATGACCGTAGTGACAAATGTCTGCCCAGGTTGCACTGCAAGTCACCAGTCTCAAGGATGGGATTGGCCAAAAGTTCAGATGATGCTTCTGGTTTTTGTTTGCTTGCAGGACTGTCATGAAGTCGGGCTCAGAGCTGGTGAAGGCTGGGTTGCGAGCATTCTTTGAAAATGCTGCAGAAGACTTAGAGAAGACTTCGGAAAACCTGAAGCTTGGAAAGTTTACCCATTCCAGGACGCAGATTAAAGGCGTTTCACAGAATATTAACTATACCACGGTGGCTCTGCTGCCCATCCTGACGTCCATCTTTGAGCACGTCGCTCAGCATCAGTTTGGGGTGGATCTGCTCTGTGAGTCCCGCTGCTGTTTGTCGCGGATTTATAGGCACATGGCCACAGATAGAGGTGTGGGACCCGTGCACTTATGCTGACCTTGAGGACAGAGTAGAGAGAGAATTATTCCATACTCTTTTCTTCTTAGATTAAAAAAAAAAAATGAAATGATAGGCTCTTGGAGGGGGAAGAAATTCCTTAATTTGAGTATATAATATTTAATCTTTTCCCATTTTTGTTCTGGACCATAATTTCCCACCCACTAGTGTAGCTCTCAGCTATTGCAGTCTCCCTTAGTTTGAAAAGATTATCTGAGCAATACAGAGGGAGGTACAGGTGTGCTCCCAAGGTTTTTCAGGTATCATTTTTCTTGGTAAGAAGCCTTAATTTATGTATTGGATATCAGGAGCAAAGGAAAGATGCTAACATTTCATTATCCGAGTCTTCAGAACAAGACCAGGGTGGGTCAATTTTATTTTAGTTTGCATTTAGCACCAAGTCCAACCCCTCAATGCACAGATTTGCCACCAAGCTTCAGTTTCATTCATGCTTTAAAAGTTGGCACATGATTTAATTTAACTGGTTGTTGACAGCTAAGGCTGTGTCTTCCATATCTTTGAACAACTGAAAATCAGTTATTTCTGTTGGATAGGGATTGAAGTAATATCCAAACTCATTATTTTGTGTCATGAAAACAATGCAGTTCCTTGATTGAAAAATAAAACATGAAATTAGTTCTGATTGTGTTAAAATAGTCCCAGCCTTGGTGTGAGTTCCAGACATGGCTCGGACATGTAGCCTACAGATTAAACTTTACGCGTTCCTAAGCAAAACATGCCCTTCCCCTAGGAAACGTGATAAAATCATGATACAATTAAATTGCCTTTTGAAAAATAGGCAGACATGAGGAATTTTGCTCTGTCTCTGAAGAAGATCAGGCTGTTGGACGTATCCTTTTGGGAAATGAGCAAAAGGTTCATTCAAGCTTCAGGTTTTCTGAGTCTTCCTTCCAAAGGAAGGAAATACTGCACTGGATAAAATTTGACTAAAATGTCTCCCTCTATTGGAAAAAAAGAATCTACTATGGAAAGACCCATTGGTCAAATGATTCCTTTCCCTGTGAAGCAATGTGCTTCTCATCATAAGCCCCACAAAGAAACCAGGATGGCTGGATGGAGGATGTTTGTCTCTCTATTTTCTCTCTGCATTCAAAAACTAGCTATAGCCTCTGTCACTAGTTAAGAAAGATATTTTTTGCTCTTGACCGATGCCCATACGTTTTTTTCTTTTCATGGACCCTCTCCATGTGTGGGACTGATGTGCGGCAACGACATCTCTTCTTTGTTTCAGTGAGCGACGTGCAGATTTCATGCTACCACATACTGTGCAGCCTCTACTCCCTTGGGACAGGAAAGAACATCTATGTCGAAAGGTAATTAGTGAACAAATGGGGTAACACATTTAGGCTCAGAAAAATGTTACTTACGGTTTTTTAAACACTTAACACTTAATAACATCTTTTCAATCTAGCAAAACCAGAAATGCTCACTGACATGGAGTGGTGGCTTTGAGCCTCGGTTATGAAATGTTCATGGCAATATAAAGGAATGCAGTGAGGCTGTTGAGATTTGTGACTTCCGTGGAGACAGCTGGTGGACGTATGTGGCGGGAGGAGCAGTATAGCCAACCTAAATCATGCGCTCATAACCAAAAAATGTTGAAGATATGTCTGTTTCTTCAGAGTCACAGCTTCCAAATAGCTTCCAGAGTTCCTGCGGTTAAAGCCTGCTGAGAAGCTCAGGGGACATGAGGCAGTTGCTTTAGTGTTTAATGAGTTTCTGTGTGATACAACCCTGGACCTCTACCAGTCTCAGCTGTCAGATTAACTAGAGTTTTAAAGAAGTGCACACTTTGGTAGCAGCAATGCTGGTCAATAATCTGAACACGTTTATTGGCAGAGATGCTTGGGTTCTAGCTTTGCCCCTCTGATCTGCCTGTCACAGGGGGGCCTTTGGCGACCCCTTGCTTTTCAGCATCAGATGCCATGTGTTGTCGTTGTGTTTAATCCGTGGGGAAGATTGGAAGGATAAACAGTATTATCAAAACTCTGGGCTTAATCTTATCCTTGGAAGACTTTCTTTTTCTTTTTTTGCCTTTTCAAACAAGCAAACTGGAAAGAATTCAGTCTGTGCTTAAAATTCTTAATCTAAACATCCCTTGGTATCTACTTTCCGTGTGCTACCTCTACTTATGATGTTTATCAAACAAACTAACCATAAGCCCTTGTTTCATGTCAGAACTTATATACATTCCAATTGCAATTTCTCAATAAAGACCCAGAAAACACTTTGGGTCCTTCAAGAGCTAAAGAACTAATGACTTGAAATCATGTACTAGAGACGAAAACGTGTTGAAGAAATGTCTTTTTCTTCATCATCACAGCTTCCAAATAGCTTACAGAGTTCAAGAATTAGTTGAGGAACGAATGATTAAATTTGTTTTGATTATGATTTTGAGTCCTTATAATTGTCTAGTTTTCCTTATTGTTTTACATCAAATATGGATAAATAGTTTTGTCGTTTAGGAATAGGAACTGGGCAGACAAAAGTTTTAACCACATATATACCACATCAATAGGAAAATCAACAGCACTTTTTTCAGTTAATACTGAATTTCACTTAGGGAAGGTGTTTTTAGTTCATTTCTGCCATTGAGCATTAGTAAATATTTCCTCAGTATCTTTTCTTATTCTCTGGTTATAGGTGTATATATACATCCACCCATATGTGTGTGTGTGTTTTTCTTTGTACAATTTTGTGTGAAGCTTATGCATTCTTCTCATGGGGAAAAAAAAAGGTCAACTCTGAAATGTCAGACCGTAAAAAGACTGCTCTTCATATAACTTTTATCCATTATTCGTGTATTCATTCCAGGTTTATTGTGTATCTGCGGCGCTGTGAATATTGCACTTGTGTTTTGTTCTCCATGTTGGTAGAAGTCAAGGCTTGCAGAAGCCCCGTGGTCAAAGCTGCCCCTATTGGTTTTTTTCTATACTTTTTTCTGAATAATTTTTCCTGAGATGTGTTTCTCATCTGTTTCTTTGTTGTTAGGTACATTGGTAGTTCTCGAGAATGGAGAGGGGGTGTGTGTGTGTGTGCGCGCGCACGCACGAGAGCGAGAGAGAGAGAGAGAGAGAGAGAGAGAGAGAGAGAGAGAGAGAGAAAGAAAGAAAGTAGAGGAGAATGAAAGGGGAAGAAACAGCAGGCAGCTTCACATCTGAGAAGCCGGCTGAGAACTAACTCTCACTAAATCAGCAGTGCCTTTAGCCCTAGCAACCTACCAACGCTCAGCCTCTGATGTCCTCCCCCAACAAAAGTAAGCAGCTGGCCCAGGTGAGAGGTTGATGAAACTCTCAGCGAATCCTATACTCATAGGTCTTTTGCTTAGCAATTTAATGTGTGTTTATCCTCTACTTAGAGAACTCTGGTCAGTGGCTACAAAGCAGGTTACTTCTCACTCTTCAACTCCACCTCACCTTCAGTGGTTTCTCCAGGCCTGGAGACCAGGTCATAGGAACAGCAGAAGCATGTATATTCTTCCCTACTCTGTTGCCATCTGCCACTCTGCAATATGGAACCTGGCCCCACACATGTTACCCACCAGCTCTCTCATGGCCTGGTCACACCCTTAATCTTCATTGTTTCAAGCAATAGCTCGTCTTTTGTCCCTCTTAAAACCCCCATAGTTATGTCCAGAGATTTCTGTGCTCTCTTCAAGGTATGGAAAGTATGTTTCCATTTCAGTATTCCCAGTTGATTTGGTCCATACTTTATGGTTTGAAGTTGTCACATATTTTCTAATTTCAGCAAAGATCCAGATTTCTTCCCAATTTTTTTCCTCTTTTCTTGTGAGTTCTAGGGAGAAAAGTGCAATAAACTCACCATTTCTCTACTACTTTTTGCTGAAGTTTCCTTGACTAATGAATGACTGTAGGAACATAAAGAAAACACTAAATATTTGGTTTCCAGCTATACCTGGAGTGTGCTTTATGGATAGAAAAGATTCCAGACACCTTGGTGATAGGGTTGACTCTGATGGGGAAAGCCATTGATTGAATCAGGGTAGAGATATTTCTTTTGGAATATTTTCTAATTGAGACAACACTGAGAATGTCATTGACAAGCGGAGTTTTCAGATACAAAATTTCAGAGAAGGATAATGGCTTTGTGCATTTAACCCCACGGAATACTTGCATTCCATAACATGGAGATGCTTTGATTAATTGAAAGAGCATTTGATGGGGATGGGTCAAGAAAACAAAGCTTGGAACTTGGTAACATTAAACACTGAATCTCAGTTTTATTTCACATGAAAACTGCATTTTCCACTTTTCACACTTTAGCCATCCTGCTTAGCTCCCTTTGACCAATTATTTCTGATTAGACATTGCATATGTTCCCTGAACCTCTAAGGTCACAATACTGCTATCAATACCTGTGTCCTGCCCCTACCCCCACTGTGCTTTCTGCCTCTCTGCTACATGTAATTTCCTCTTTTTAACATCCTCTGGGATATATATCAAGGAACTTTCAAAATCGCAAAGCACCATTTGTGTGTAAGGCATCATTATTATTATTACTATGACGACTTCATCTTTGCCTGTGTTCGGAACAATAAACATTGAAGAGGCAAAATGCAGATCCATGGAAATAAAATCGAAAGATTGACAAGGAAAGCTTGCTACTTGTCAAATTAGGAAGTAACCAAAACCAAAATACAAAGTGAACGTTCTTCAGTCTGTCACCACTGACCAAGTACCTATTTTGTGAAAAATACTAGGTAGAAAGAACTAAGACCAAGGGGGAAAAAAAGGGGGAGTTTTCATATTCAGTGATAAACTCTTCCAGTAGACCTTTGGGTTACTATGGAGATGTTTGGTCCACACCCGCACTGCCCCCTGGCGGGGCACTAATGACCAGAGGAGCTTTAAAACAGCAGGCTTTCCTTTGCCTAGCTCAATCCCTGCTTGGTGTCGGGGCCAAGGTCATTCGTGCTGATATTTCCCAGCTAGAGCATTAATTGGCAGATTTCTGGGTTTTACTTTTACAGAACTTTTAACAGCTAGGCCAAGAGAGCTATTGTTTATTTCTCTTGGTAGAGCAGCTAATTAGCATCACTGTGTGCTCCAGACTAGACATGTCCTGTTGTGGAGCGTGGTGAGACTCAGGTTAGTCAGGAATTAATATCAAAGAGGACAGGGCCATGTCGCCCTGCTCAGCGCGGCACTGGGAACTAAGACTTGCCAACTGTCTTTTGCCCCAAGGATTGCCTTTGTATCTGACTAACTTTCCAGAAATCTACTTTTGAGAGATCATGATCTTAATTTCAGTGAAAGAAAAAGAGAGGAAGAATGGGTCAATTTGGCACCAAGGCAATTCAGGCCCCTCTGTTTCCTGGGCTCATCTCCCTGTGCCAGCTAAAATGTCCTCTCAGATTTGAGATCTTACCCCTTGCCACCCCTGATTTTCACCCAAATTTTCTTTCATCGATGCTCTCCCTGTGGCATTTCTTTCCCCTTCACAGTTTGTCTCCTTCCCTCTTCCTCCTCAAAAGGCAAGACTGAGAGAAAACTCCATAGTTCTCCTCACTGGCCACTGTGGTTGGTAAACACAGTGGAACTTTTAACTGAGAAAAAGCAAGAAACAGCCCCTTGTAGACCCTCGTATTTGATGTACAGAGGCGCTCGCTGTCCTGGGTTGTCACTGAGGGTACTGGTCACTCAGGTCTGATGTTAAAATAATGCCACTCTTCTCATGCCTGTCCACCATCTTGAGCTTGGTGGAGAAGGGAAGCATGGAGAAGAAGAGGTGGTGAGAAGGAAAAGTATTGGGGGGGAGACAGGACCAGCCAGGGCCTCCCTCAGAGTGACCGGGTCTCAGCAGTCTCCACGGTCTCAGTCCCTCGTCTTCCACCACTGGCACCTCCAGCGGGACCCAGGACAGCGTGAATACATGGGGAACAGTAGGATTTGCTTGTCCAAGGGCTTCTACTCTGCCTCTGGAGCAGTCCTGGATGGGGAGATTTTAACAGTCAAACCTTCATCAAAAGGACAAGGCTAAGAAGTGACTGCCGGACTGAGGACCTGTCGATGCATTGTAGCTGGTTGGGGCAGGATTTTAAAGTTATTCATTCAAATACTTCATGGCCAAAGAAGCTGTCAACTAGTGCCCTAAAAGCCAAGCCTAAGAAGACAATAACAATAAAATTACATGGATTAATTTTTCCTTAAAGTAATTTAAAAGATCACTTTTTCATAAGGTTGATAACTTGAAGACTGAGTGGGTTTTCCAAGGAATACACAGCTTTCTGCCAACTCACCCACTCTCTCCCCTCCTTCCTCTCTCAGTTCTGGAGAGTCAGCTTGCATCTCCAGCAGGGCAGTTCTGCATACCCCCAGGCTGCCCCCTGCAGATTCCGATGATTCTATCCTAAACAGTCTTATGCAGTCACTTTTTCAAGACCAGTTGAGATCACATTTTTAATCCAACTCAAATATATGTATTTCTCTGTTATAACGAAGTTGCAAGTTAATTCTAATCCTTATGATTAGTCCATAAAGATGTGTCATTTAATCACATTGTTGACTCAGGGTTCTATATAGAACACAGGGCTGTATATTTGCTCTGCATTCAGTGAGAAAGGACTTCCAGCTCCTGAAGGATGAACGTTAAGACTGTCTGGCTTACTCCTTCAGTAAAAAAAAAATCCCCCCCCCGCCCCCGGCCGGCCGTAGTAAATGCTTGTTATCCACTTTCAGAGAATCTATGCTTTTGACATTCTGGCTTCTTGGTGCTGCTGGAATTGGCTGTTGTCACAGAGAGGGGTAATAAACACAAAGACTTGCATGCAGGTCTCAGTGGGGAGCTGAAGGGGACCCTCAAGAGACACCTTTCTGCTTCCAGGGAATGGCAGCTGTGGGGCACGAGTTGGCTCTTGGCTCCAAGTACACTTTCTCCAGCTGGAAGTTGGCTCCATGATGAGTCTGTAACATCCCCCAAGGGGCAGCTCAGCACCCTCAGCTACCAGGGGTGCTACTCGTGGGCTTCACATACACAGCATCCGTGCTCAATCTGAGTTGATCAGCCACAGAGAAGGGCAAAGTGAGGCATGAGATGGAATTGAACTCTGTAAGCCCCATGCAATTCTTAATTATAGACTGTTGTCTGCATTTTCCCACTCATTATCTTCATATCCTGATCTAACAAAGGATTCACATTACGGATTTATTTGAAAAAAAAAAAATTCTCCATATTTGGGAGCAAACATCACATGTGTAACTCCCAGGACAGGTGTGTAGTCTCTCTGTGTTTCGATGCCCGTGAGTGGCAGAGAGAGATGTTGATGCATGGGAGATGCATAGCTCTGGTCCCTCATTCATCAGAAAGCACCGGACAAGATACAGTCCCAAAGCTAAGCCCAGATCTAGGAGGGAGAAGCACTGCTTCGAGAAGCCAGTTGCTGGTTCCCATCCCTTACACTCACAGACTTAGTTACCCTGCCAGCAAGCACAGGTCCTCTCAGTTGGAGAACTTGGAATCTGAACTAGAAAACCCAAGCATTTTATTTTTGTTTGTTTGCTTGTTTCACAGGAAGACTTAAAAGGCAGACCTTAATACATGGTGGACACACAATTATATGGAGAAGGGTGGGAGAGGAGTAATAGGTATTAGAGGTCTCTCCTCTAAATCAAGCAGTATGCTTTAGGAACTGTTGTCTCTGTTGCAAGCCAGGTCTTTTATCTTGTGTCTCCTTAGTGCTTTGGCCTATTATCTACTGTTCTAACTAGTGGACATAGGCTCCATCCATAGTAGAGAATAGATACAGAGAAATTACACTGAAGATTTCAAAGCATCTTGAGAACAAGAAGGTTTCATATCAATCTGGATATCAGAACTTGCTCTCAGATATGCTAGGGGAGAGGGGCAAAGCTACACAGTGTATTACATCACCTTAGCCAATTAAGAGCTAGCTTCCAAGTAGTGAGACTATTGTAAATCATTGGTCAGTGTCCAGAGAAAGATAAAGGGATGGAGAAGTGTGTGCAACCTGGCTGAGCCCAGGGATGTCCAGTGGATTAATTTATGGGGAAGTGACCTGAAACATCCTGGGTAAGGGGCCTGGCCTGTGATGCATGGGGCCAGCACGTGGGTGGCACCACTTCTAAATGGACTTCTTTGTTTCCAGGCAACGTCCTGCCCTTGGAGAATGTCTGGCCTCACTGGCAGCTGCCATACCAGTGGCATTCCTGGAGCCCACCCTTAACCGCTACAATCCACTCTCAGTCTTCAACACCAAAACCCCCAGAGAGAGGTCTAGTAAGTATCTTCCCACAAAGGTCATCAACCCATTCACGTGCTGAGAGGAGAGCAACCGGGAAGGCCACTCAGGCAGGGAGCAGCAGGCCTGCAGCACTGTTGTTTTACGTGGTCTGAAGAGGCCAGGAGGTCAGAGTTACGAACTAGATCTATCTCTCTCTTATCGGAGAAATGTGCACAGGCAAGACTTTGCAATCATTAGGTTTTGGTTTTCTCTTCTGTAAAATGGGGAAACAGTGTAGTTGATTTCTAAATCCCTTCCATCCTAAGACCCGAAGATCTCTTGTCTGCCCTGGGTCTCCCCATTTTGCACATTGGGATGTGACTGTATTTTGCAGTTCCTCTCAAGAATGGCATCAGCAGAGGCACATCCACACTAATAGCCTAATTATACTCTTCAAGTCCATGGAGAGGCTGTGTTTCTAAGGATGCCGACCACATATTCTCCACGTGCATGGAAGATGAGACATAGAAAAATTCCAGAAGGAACTGAAATTACACAAGAAGGATAATTCCTTCACTCAGTTCTATAACAGTAGTCACAAACTGTGGCCACAGGGCAAATCTGGCCCCCTGCCTATTTTTGTAAATAAAGTTTTATTGGAACGTAACCACACCTACTTGTTTACAGATTGTCTGTGGCTGCTTTAGCACTACCATGGCAGAGTTGAGAAGAGGCAGCAAAGGCTGCCCTGCAATGCCTAAAATATTTACCATTTGGCCCTTTACAGAAAAAGCTTTCCACTGTGTCTTCTATAATAACCTAGAACTAAAATCCAAGGCAGGTTCTCGGGGGTGGAAGGGAGGGCCCTGACATCTGGATTGTGACCCTAATTAAGGGCGATAGAATAGAACAGAGGAGCTTCAAGTAGAAGCCCTGAATCAAGCTTGGACTCTAACTAGAAGTAACTACAATGATTTGATGTGTTCTGAAGCAAAAATCACCATACTGGGGGCCTAATCAATATTAAGAACAAGAAAAAAAGCCATAGTAAATGATTTTAAACTAGACCCCTTCCTATTCAGAACCAATATTTTCTTAAAATATTGATATCCTGTACCAGTAGATGGCTGGACAGGATAGCAGTTCCATTTAGTTCAAGCCCCTTTTCTCAAACTCCATGAGATCCTAAGGGAGAAGTGTTCTGAGAGAAAGCGGGTTCATACCACACTTTCCTTGGCCACTGCTGTTCTTTTCATCTATGAATGCATAGTGCTAAGCCTTCACGGATTTATTGCTGTTTGCTTCTTGTTACTTCTGATAAGGGGAGTGCATTGCCCCAGAAATGATCACCAGGCCCACTTAGATAAGGTTGCTGATAAAATTCTTTACTGAGCTAGAATACAGTGGAGACTAGTGCTCTCAGAACTAGTCAAGAGAGAAGCATTGCCAAGACGCCTCGACTTTCCAAAGTCCCATATGAAATCTGTAAATTCATCTTTCCCCAACCTTTTTGACCTCATCTCACCCTTTCTCCCCTTTGAGATTAGCAAAAAATGTATTTCCAACCTTGTTTTTTTCTGTCCAGTCCTGATTCCAAATGAGTCACAGCTTGCTTTGAAAGTGGGAGCTGAGCAACACAGCAGACTTTAATGAAGTTGAGAAGTCAGGCAAATGCCAGCCCAAGTGTTGCTCCCTAGCTCCAAAGGGACATAGGGCCATCATGACAGTCCTGGATCTTTATACATTTATTCTACTCCCAACTGTGACTTGAGAAATAGTCTCTCTTTGTCTCTATATCAGCACTGCGTAGAGCTGCACCTTGGCAAAGAGAAACCACCTCTGCTCTTCAGATCCTAGAGGCACAGTAGCAGGGCAAAATGAGGCTATGGCAAAGGCAGAGGAGCACCTAGAGTAGCTTTGGGAGGGAAGGGAATGACTTCCTTCTACTGTTCCCCTTCCCAAGGGCTCTTTGAAAAACATTCCTTCTCATTTTATATACCTTTGTATTGATTTAATACAACATGGTCATAAATTTTAAAAGTATCCATCATTGCCTGCTCCAAAGGAAGAAAAGAGACATTGTGATTAGAGACCACACAGTCCTTTATCCATTAGTAACATACTATGGGTCTCTGCTCAAGTGCCCTGAGCCCATGTTTGTCATCACTGGATTAATCAGCGATAAGTGGATGCTGACCATGTGTATGCCTCTTGAAAAGTAGCATGTGGATGATTACGTATTCTGGGATAACCAGGCTTATCGGGAGCCAGAGGATGACTGATGGCTTACTGGGCTGTAAGAATGTAGACTTCATTCATTATAAAGTGGGTAGCCAGAGGGTTAAGGAAGGAGAGGAATATATAGGGTGATAAATGATGTGAGCCTGTGGTTTAGAAATACAGTATGAACTCATTTATCAAGGCTTCAGTCAATTGGGCATCTCCATTAATCGACACTTGGTGCTTTGCCAGCATAGTTACTCATGTTAGTATCTTCGATGCCCTATAGGATCCTGGAGCATTTTCCTACTCATCCAAAAGTTATTAAGATATGCCTAGAAAAGATTTAATACTGCCATGTGCCAGTTATTCAAAACTAGATAAATCCTTAGTTATGTCTGGCAGTGGTCTATTAATCAAATATAGGATTGATCAAAACATCTTATCACCAGCCAGTTTTCTTTCCTTTCATACCACGTTGGAATAATCAACCAAATGGAAAAGAGGCCCAATTCCAATGTAAGCCATCTGCCTGTATTGCAACGAGGTGATGCTCTTTGATGCTGTCTTCCTGAGGAAACAGCTGCTAGGTGAAAAAAATAGGACTTCAGAATCTAAGCCAGTGGTTCTTGGACTCTGACATGCATCAGAATCACTTGGGAGGCTTGTTAAGGACTGCTGAGCCCTACCCCTAGATTTTCTAATTCAGTAGATCTGGAACGGGCCCAAGAATTTGCATTTTTAGTCAGTTTCCAGGTGATGCTGATGCTACTGGTAGGAGGACCCCACTTTGAGAACCATGGATCTGGAATATGGAAGGACAATGATTCTAATGATTCCCCCCAGTCTTGTATCTGATTATAATATGACCCAGCCAAGGCTGTTTTTCAGGTAGGTAACTCAGCAGGGTTCATTCTGTGGGTTTATCATGTGGCATTTGAAGTACAAAACATCTTCCAAACAGCAAATGTTTGTTCCACCTAAGGACCAATTATATATAAATAACATTTAAAGGTCATTATAATGACTCCAGAGCAGCAACCTTAAACAAGTTTTTCTTAATCAGGAAAAAAAAAGCATCCATGATAACATATTGTCTGTGTGACATTTAAACACACACACCTGAGCCTTCTCATCTATAATCTTATGGCAAATAATTGTACACTTCAGTTGCATCTGTGGCAGTTGGCATTATTCTGTGTGTAGAACCACAAAGTAGAAAGTTTGACTTCTCTGTCTTTACCTATTTACTCTGAGAGTGTACGTGTAAAATTACTTTGCGACAGTCTCCCCAGACTCCCATGACTGCTGCAAGATACAAGACAGACTCATTCTCTGCAAATGACCGACATTGGCAATGGACCATATGTGACCCATATAATTTCCTTCCACTGTAAATCATAGGATTTCAGGGTTCTTTGTTTTTCATGCTGTTAGTCCTTCTAAATTGTCTGGATTTTAAAAGACGTTGGTCCACTCCTGACTTCTAAGGAAAAGAGATCTTTAGCCTTCTACCCACCAAAAGGCTATAGTGATAGCAACAGAAAGTCATCACTAGGGCAAAAGTGATAGGACTTCACTGGGCCTGTCCCATAGCACAGAGGCTGTTCTGGGTCCATTGCTTTGCAACTGTACATTCGATCCCAGTAGAGCCACTTGTCTCAGCTGCAGATTCATTCTGTCCAAGATAGCCAGGATTATTCTGCTCCCAGCAGTACAACCATGAGAGACATCAAAACAATCCCTTTCAATTGGCCAGTATTCCTAAAGGCCAAGGAAATTGGTTAAGCCTCTTTTATTTGTTACTCCTTCAATGCCTATGGATCTAAAATCCATAGAGAAGAGAAATTTAAGCCAGCAGTGACTCTAATGGCAAAGGGGAACCTGCAGGCATACCCCAGTGCACTAAACATAAAATTTTATTTAAAGTCTTCTGCTTTATCTCTGGAAATTGATGAGAACTTTGCATTTTACTCCTAATGTCAAAAATAATTTTCTCAAATCTTCCCAGTGATACTGATATTCTGAGAAAACTCTCCTCATTTTTCCTGTGGCTTCGTGGACTGCCTAGCTCCTTCAGTGCTTGATGCTTTAGCCCCAGTTTGAGAAGTTTGATCTGAGGATGAAGTATGCATATGATCTGCTTCGTGGGCCCAGACAGATTGTGTAGGGAGCAATTAGCTCAACGGATACATATGCAAAGCTTTGGGCTTGTGGTTCTTATTCAGAACTGTCACCCAGCCCTCCACTCAAAGCCCTTGTTATCTTTTCACCTGTCAGGAACCTCAGGGTGCTTCTGGTCTTCCTCCTGTCTTGCACGAAAGAATGTCCTCTACTTTAAGGGGAGCACTTCTTCTGCTTCCAATTCATGTATCTGACAACCCTCCCTGGTTTAATGTTGAACCCTGTCTGTTGCCCCTTCATCCTGTCTGTCCTCATCCAGTGAAGTGACCTCAATCATTCAGAATGAGGAAAAGATAGGGCTAATTCACTATTCCTTGTAAATAAACCTTCAGAAACAAAAAAGTTTAAGTGATTTGCAGAAATTCAATTAAGTCACCTCAGGTCACCCATAATTTCTATTGTGAAGGCAGAAATCAATGCATGTGTGATATTTTTTCTCCCCAAATTTCAGTTGGCTGGAAAGTATTATTGTCTCTGGTCCAGCTGAAGGAATATTTGATAAGAGGATTTTCTTTTTCCTTTTCTAAACAGTACAGATGTGATCCAGGTGTTTGAACTAAGACTTGGCAATCAAACACTGATCGGTTGCTTTTCTCCTCTGATCACTGCCTTTCCTGCAGTGGCCACACTAAAGCCTAAGCAGGCAGGCCAAAAGGGAGAAGCTAAGAGACTGGCTTTATCACACAGAAGTCTTATGAACTATCCCTCAGCCGTGTCCTGTTGTGTTCCTTTAACCATATGTTTAAATGTTTCAACCTCAGTATGACATCTAGGAAGATAACACAGCCTCTGGAAGCTGTAGTCAGTTCACAAGCAGCTGGAGGACAAAAGCTACTCTGCATCCATGCTTGCTCCTATGAGGCTCTGGAAATTTATATCTAAAAACCAAAAGAAGGGTGGGGCAGAGGGAGAGAAGCTTTGCACCCATTGTGCTTTTGAATTACTGTCCCTTTATTCTTCCTGTTCCCTCTTGGTCAGTTATGGGGATGCCAGACACGGTGGAAGAGATGTGTCCTGACATCCCCCAGCTGGAAGACCTGATGAAGGAAATCAATGACCTAGCCGAGTCAGGGGCCCGGTACATGGAGATGCCACACGTCATCGAGGTGGTCTTGCCCATGATCTGCAACTACCTGTCCTATTGGTGGGAGCGGGGGCCCGAGAACCTGCCCCCCAGCACAGGGCCCTGCTGCACCAAGGTCACCTCTGAACACCTCAGTCTCATCCTGGGCGACATTCTGAAGATCATTAACAACAACCTGGGCATCGAGGAAGCCTCCTGGATGAAGCGCATCGCAGGTACCAGGGCCTTTTCTTTCCAGTTGCCCCAGCCAGGGACCAAGAGAGCTAGGTTCTCTTTTCATCTCTGTTATTAATTCCATCATGGTGTTGAGCAAGCTCTATTCTATATTTAAACCTCCCCACTCCCACTCCCACACCCATCTCTACCTCACCCCACTTGCTTAACAAGAAAAGGAATTGACGTATTCCCTAGAAAAGCTTCCTGGAGCAGATGCTCCTGTCTACGCCCATACCAATCCTGGCCCCTCAAATCTCTAGGAAACCCTTCTTAATAAACTCCACTGGAGTCCAATGAGCATTGCTTTATTTGTTTTTGGTACTTAAGAATCTCATTTGCTCTTACAGTAATAACTGTCCATAATTTTCTTGGTAAGTAATCCTGTGTGTTTTCCACATGTATAAAACTCACACCCGGGCTGCACTGTAAGTTTCTTAATGCCACTCTGCATTTGTATTTCACTTTGTACTTTCTAAGACACACTCTCATGTAGGCTCATGGTAGCAGCGCTTCGTTTTTGCTTTTTCTTTCTTTTGTATCCCTCTCAAATTCCTTGCATGCAGTAGGCTCTTAATGTTTTTAGCCAATTTTCTGTTTTTGAAGCAACCTCAAAAAAAAAGATAGGCTTGGAAAATGAATAACCATGGTTTTCATAGTCAGGAAACCACAGATATTTAGTGTCAAGCTAGAGTCCAAGGAGATGGAAGCTAAGACAAAGTCATTGTTTTTGGTGGGCCTACAATTTAGATAGTAGACTCCCTGGTAACAGCTTCACCCATATAATCTCCCGGATCATGAAATGCAATGGCTAAGCTAATGGCAGCTATTAACCCAACACCGGGTATTTACTTTCCTGAATAAATGAATAGATATCATTCTACAAGACCAAGGAAGAAAAGTTCCTGCCCCCTTCCTGTCTCAGAAATGAACTGAGATCAAAATTATAAATATTTTGGGCGCTGATGGCTGCTAGATGACATAGGCGTCTGTGAACATATAAGTAAATAGAGTTGGTATTCCTCTCTTACCCAGGAGCTCTAAAATGTTCTTAACCATAAGGCAATGTTTTGATGAGCTCTAATTTAGGAGCTAATCAAAAGAATTTGATTAAGGAAAGGAAGGAGATCAAAAACCTGCTCCTTTACCTCCCTAGGGGTGCAGAGAAGAAAAATGTCACAGCATGAGGGGCACAGATGGAAACAAACTTTGGCCTGTTATTCCACAGGTGAACCCAGATCTCATTCCATCAGGCCACTTAATTCCTGGTGACTAAACAAAGTTGATTTTAAATAGTAACCCCAAATTGCCCACATCAAGTACAGCCATTCTAATTGTATATTCAAAGCAGACCTCAGTGAAAGCTAACAAGTCACAACTCCTTGGTGAATGCATTTCATCAGAAAGCTGCCTTTACCTTCTCTAAAACTGTCTTTTTTATAAAAGTAAAAAATAAGGGAAAGGTAGATTAAAAAGAAAAATTGCTGGAATGTAGGGCATTCCAATTGAATTACCCTAAGCTAAAGAAACTGAAGTACACATTTCAGTGTACACTGTCGATAGTTCATGACCCTAACTCATTTTATTTCACTTATTTTTTCTTATAATTACTTTGATTTTGATCTTTAGGAAAGATATGCTATTCCATTGGTCTAATAGGATAACTAATATTTAATAAGTAGGATATAAGAAATAGGGTAAGACATGTAGGGTTTTATCATTCTCTTCACAGAGGCAAAAACTGTAGCCCCACTGATTGCTTGTTGCTGCTTTTCAACTTCTAGTTGAGAGGCCCAGCCTCTCTCCAATCATTTATAGCTGATGGGAGCGTTATCTGCCTCCCTCAGGACCCAGAGGAGCTTCCAGGAAGTAGGTTGGCAGTTCTCAAGTATTGAGGGCTGAGAACAGTGGTTGGGTCAGTGTGCTTTTAACAACAGATTTTTCTGCAAAATAACCAGAAATCATATATTGAGTGCCTACCCTTGGCTCAGCACAGTACCGGTTATCATGAATGAAATGCTCCCTTCAGGGAGTTTAAAATCTAGCTAGTGAGCCCAAACCAACATGAATACACTACAAAATTATCCAAGATAGCCTATTATGAAGAGCTAAGAGGTGTGGCCTGGGCCATGTTCAGGGGTGGCCTCCTTATGGCCTGGGGAGCAGGGGGAATTAGGGACCTGCTTGTATAGTGGCCCTGGTACCCCAACCCCCAAGGCAGCTTTATGAGAAGGAAGTGCCAAGGGGAAGATCAGGGAGGGGAACAAGGGGCAGGTGCCATCCTGAGTTGATGGCTTTCCACAGCCTCACCTTTCAGGGTCACTTCTTTCATTTTCATCAATTCTCATAATATGGAAATGAGAGGGAAGCCCTTTGTTTGCAAACGCAGTGTACACCCAGCCAATCATCAGCAAAGCCAGGCCTGACCTGCTGAGAAGCCACTTCATCCCGACTCTGGAGAAGCTGAAGAAAAAGGCCGTCAAGACCGTGCAGGAGGAGGAGCAGCTGAAAGCCGACGGCAGAGGGGACACCCAGGAGGCGGAGCTCCTCATCCTGGATGAGTTCGCGGTCCTCTGCAGGGATCTCTACGCCTTCTACCCCATATTGATCCGCTATGTGGACAACAGCAGGTGTGGGGGAGACTCGGGGGCCCATCTGCCCCTCTCTGGGGCTAATTTGGGCAACAGAATAGGATGGAAAGATGGTGCTGGGTTGTGTTAATGGTGAGAGGAAGGGAGGTGATAGCTGCTGCCACCTGTCCGCTTCCCACCACCAATAGTCTCTGTGTTGGACCTCTGGGCAGTGCTGTCCTTAACCAGTGATTCTCTGTGGCATGTGGCCACCCCCTCCATCCTTGCAGGCTACCACAGGGCAGAGGGAGTTGGTTAAATAAGGGTAGGAGTGACCCACTTCTGCCCCTCTGCAGTTCACTCACAGATCTGTTCAACTCGTACTGCTTGACTGTGTGCCAGGCACTGTTCTAGACGTTGGGCAATAGGAAAGAACAGAAAAGACAACGTTCTCTGGCCCAGGGAGCTTTCACTCCAGGGGTAGGGGAGCATAGACGATAAACAACACATATAAGTACATTATACAGAGCAGGGTGAGGGAAATTAGGAGTGCCAGGTAGGGTGGAGTTGCAGTTTTTTTAAATAAGATGTTATTAAGAAAGCAACATTTGAGCAAAGACCTGAAGGAAGTGATGTTGGGAACCATAAAGGTCTGGGACACGGGTGTTTCAGGAAGAGGAAACGTCTGGTGCAAGCCCTGGAGAAGGAGTGTGTTTGGGATGTTCAAGGATCCCAAGGAGGCCAGTGTAGCTGGAGCAGAGTGAGGCAGGGGGAGAGCATAGGGACATTGGAGAGGCAGCATGGGGCCAAGGGTGCAGGCCTTGGAGGCCACTGTGAGGATTATGGCTTTTACCCTGAGTGAGCCAGTGGAGATTTTGAGCAAATCCATGATGTGATCTCATTTAGTCTTTGAGCACCCAGTCGAGGGCAGGAGGGTACAAATGAGGAAGTGAGAAGACCAGTGGAAAGCTCCGATGATCCAGACCAGAGTTGATGGTGATCCACAGAGACAGAAAGCAGATTAGCCTGCCAGGGGCTGGAGGGAGGGAGTAATGGGGAGAGACTGCTTAATGGGATTGGGGTTTCCTTTTGGGGTGATGATGATGTTCTGGAACTAGATAGTGATAGTAGTTGCACAACATTGTGAATGTACTAAACATCACTCATGGCAAATTTTATGTTATATGCACTTTACCACAATTTAAAAAAAAAAAAAAATGTGATGGTGGCCCAAGCCAGGGTGGTGGCAGTGAAGGTTGACAGAAGTTATCAGATTGTGGGTCTGTTTTGAAAGTAGAGCCCTTGGAATTTCCAGATTGTGAATGAGAGAAAAGAGGAGAATTAAAAATAACTCCAGGAGTTTTGCATGAGCAAATGGAAGCATGGAGTTTCCAGCAATTGAGTTGAGGAAGATTGTGGGTAAAGTAGATATTTTGTTTTTGAGGGGAAGATCAGGAGGTCACTTTCAGACTTATTAACTTTAGTTGCCTATTCAATATAAAAATGAAAATGTTGAGTGGGCAGTTGAATGTAAGAGTCCAGAGTTCAGAGGAGAGAGGTCTGGTGTAGAAATGTGAATTCTGGAGTCATCAACACATTAATAATATAGTCTTTAAGGACTATGAGGCTGGATGAGACAAGGGAGCGAGGCAAGAGTTCTAAGGACTGAGCCCTTGTGCTCCCCAATGCTAAGGGGTTGGGCAGAGGAAGAGGAACAGCAAATGGGACTGAGAGAGAGCAACCAGTGAGACAGGAGGAAAACCAACAGAGTGTGGCATTCTGGGTACCAACTGCACAGAGGGCTTCCAGGAGGAAAGAATGACCAGCTATTTCAAATGCAGCTGGTAAATAAGATGAGAACTGAGACCAGGCCATTAGATTAAGCAGCATGGAAGTCATTGGTGACTTTTACAAGAGCATTTTAAGTGGAGCATTGGAGATGAGAGCCTCTTTGGAGTGGGTTAGAAGAGAGTGGGAAAAAATACTTGGAGACAGAAATACAGGCAACTTGTTCAAGTTTTATTATAAACAGGAACAGAGAAATAGGGCACTAGCTAGAGGCAGAAGTATGGCCAAGAGAGGAGTTTAGAAGTGAGACTTGTCAGTTGTTTCTCTGTTGATGGGATTGATCCAGCAGAGAGGGGAATATGATCATGTAGGACAGAGAATCTTTAAAGCAATGTCCTCAAGCAGGCCAAGGGTAGTTTCAGGCAGTTCATCTGCAGCAACAGGCAGGAGGGCAGAGACCATGGGTGGTGATGTTGGTAGGTACATATATCTATACACACACACTTGCATCCAGATATAGATAGATGGGGATCTGCAGGAGTCCTTTTCTGATTGCTTCCATTTTCTCAATAAAATAGGAAGCAAGACCATCATCTGGGAGAAGGTGTTGGAGGTTTGAGGAATAAACAGAAGGTATGAGGTGTTTGCCAGGAAGACTGGAGGAGTAAATACAGCAGGGAAGTGCAGGCTGCTCACTTCCCTGCTGGCAGCATTAAGAGCCCCACTTGAGATCTGTGGTCATGAATTCAAAGTGAGACCCACCAGCAGGTTGTTGTTTTCTCCAGCCAAATTCAGTTGCCAGGTATAGGCCCAGAGTAGGAAGAGTTAGGTTTTTCCAGGGTTGAGGTTTTACAAAGTGAATATGACAAATTGGATTAGAGAGTTGAGACGTGTGAGAAGGTAATTAAAAGATTTACCATGGAATTTCAGCTGGATCATGAGGAGGGCAGTGAGGACCTAGGAGACTAACGTCCATGAAGACAAAGAATCAAAGAATAGACAGAGAATCAAAGGAATATTGGGGCCAAAGGATTGTTGGAGGCTGGACACCAGATAGGAGGTGATGGTCAGAGAATGAGATACATGGATTTAAGAGTATGGGATCAGGGGAGGTTACAGTTATTGATAATGACATGGGATTGGGTACTGAGGTAGGCGAAGGGCAAGATCTTTAGAGACAAGAACAAGGAACTGAAAGGCCTTGGTGCTGGGAAGATCATAAACATGTATATTGAAATGAAGAATGAAGACTGATAACATCTTAGGGAAAATATCAGTGAGAGAGGAGTTCCAAGCGTGGATAAATGAAGGGGAATGACTGGATTGGTGGACAGCTTGGTATAGTCTGATGAGATGAGATTCAAACCCAGGAGGCTTTGGGAGACACCTCATGGCGCATGCCTCTGTTCTAACATTTGAGCATCAGTTACAGGAAAGATTGGAAAGAGCACAATACGATGAACTTACCCAAAACTGCTGCTTCCTTCTCTCAAGACTTCTTGCCTAAGTTCAGTCCTTCAGGATGGTTACCCCAAATCCCCATTCTCTCCCCATGCCTCACCTTCAGCCCTTTTCTCCCATCAGTCACTCCCTGGGGTAATGGTCACCTGCTCTGCTGGTCGGGCCCCAGCTCACCATCATCCCTCCTGCTCTACAGAACTTCAAGGGTTGGAAGGCTTTAATTTCATAATTAGACAAGTTAAGTCAGGTAATGGCAGAAATTTTCTATGTAATTCACTCTTTCCCCAAGCCCAATAGTAAATTTCGTTTGGTACATGAAATTTAATTGAGCTATAATAAATAATTAAATAATTATTTGAGAAATATGAAAGCTTGTGGGACTGTAAGTCTGTAAAATCATAAAGAGTATTGATAGGGTGAACACAGACATTTTCACTGAATCTTAGGATATAACACTAAAGACCTTTACCCTATACATGGTTTTTTTTTCTGTAACCAAATATGTGTCATTTTCCCACACCAGTTCTCCAATTCTCTGACATCAACTGGGTATTCAACAATCCAAATTAAATTCTGACACGAACTACCCAGAGTTAATTTAGGTCCCATAGTTTAAGGGCTCAGTTCCACAAGATTGTTCCCACTTCAGACACCAGTCACAAACCTGGTGCCCAGGCTACCCAAACACACCACAAATTCGAGGATTCCTGTGACCCCCTTCTCAAGTTTGATAATTCACTAAAACAACTCATAGAATTCAGGAAATCACTTTACTTGCAGTTACCAGTTTAGCAGAGTAGATACAATTCAAGAACATCCAAATGAGAGAGACACATAAGGAAATGTATGGATGTAGGAGAGCACAGAAGCCCAGAGTTTACCACCCTCCTAGCACATCAATGTGTTTACCAACCTGGAAACTCCTCAGCTGTCATTGTTGGAGAGTTTTCATGTAAGTTTCATTATGTAGCCATGATTGATAAATCATTGGCCCTTGGTGATTGAGATTGAAATCAATCTCCAGGACCTCTCTCCTCCCCAGAGGTGGGGGATGAGGTTGAAAATTCCACCCCTCCAAGCATGTGCTTGTTCTTGCTGGTGACCAGCCCCAAACTGAAGCTATCCAGCCCTGCCTCTCAAGTGTCACCTCATTAGCATAAAGCCAGGTGTGGTCAAAGGGACTCCTTTCGAATAACAAAAGACATTCCTATTACTCAGGAAATTCCACAAGTTTTAGGAGCTCTGTGCCAGGAACCAGGGCCGAAAACCAAATATATATTTTTATTGTACCATACCCTCTTAAAGTTTAAAGCCCTAAAATATAAATTTGGAAATGTTTAATTTTAAGATACCCACTATAGATATTGAAGGGATGCAGCAATATTAAGGGGAACATTTGCTAACTTTTTGAGTAGTATCCCATTCTGCCATGGGCAGGAAATAGGTCTGGATATATTCATTTTAGCATTTGTTTTATAAAGTAAATTGTACTTATTTTAAATAACTTATTTAAGATTACTTATATTTAGCATTTCAAAGTAAACACCTTACATGCATAATATCTCTCTCTCTATACACACACGCGCGCACGCGCGCACACACACACACACACACACACACACACGCGCGGTAAATTATACTTACTTTTGCAAAAGAAACTGCTTTGAGGGTCATCATTTTAGTTATTTTTGATAACATAATTATGTTAGCAGGTTAGAGAAGGAATTTGTCAGCGTTTGAAGTGAAAACAAAAATAAAAGTAGAGTAAGGTTGCTCCTGGAATAGCTCTTTAATTGCATTTGTCACTATTGACGATCAAGACTCAAGACAGAGTATGTTCTACTTACACGGGCTTTGACAGTTGCTAAAAATGGCAAAGTCAGAGAGTCTTTGAGATCATCATTAATTCATTCATGCCTACTTTTCAGTCTGCTCTTCCCTGAGCATCACAGTCATATGAGCCCTACTGAGAAATACATCCTTCCAATGTGGATGCCTTTACCTTCTTTAGATCCTTTTGTCATCTAAAAGAATTATCTGGCTTTGAATTATGGAATTGTGGTGTTGGTGAGGATAGTTGGGGTCACCTCATCTTACCTCCAAGTGGATGAATAAATACTTCTTCCTTTCTCCCAGCAGAGGATTTCCTGCCTCTGTTTGCCCACCACAGTTATCGGGGAAGTGGAGGGTAAAAGAGGACAGGAAGAGCATGGCCGTGCATGCCATCCCATTCTAGTGTCAGACAGCTCAAACCATCTTGGCCCAACTCTTAACCCATCAGCTCTAATTTTGCTGTCAGGAACCACACACAATCAATCTCTCTTGTGGCAGCTCTCTAAATATTGAAGAGAACCATCTCAAATACTCCTCCTCTCTGCTGTTCTTGTCATAATAACCCTTTGTACTCCCTTCAGCCCTGTCACAGCAGTGTTCAAAGACTCTGTGGTGTCTGAAGCACTCTTGTAAAGAGAGGCTTCTATTGGTCAATAGTCAACCAGAAGCTGACCCAGAATGAGCAAGAACTCCAGATCTGGTGTGCTAGGAGCAAGGCACATCAGCTCTCTCTCTTCTCATGCCAAGAGATAAAAGTTAAGACAGGTTAAACAAGTCTCTTTAGAAGAGACAGTGGCTTATTAGCCTCCTTTCTGGGAATCAGGAACATTTGGGACATAGAAATGAACTTTAAGTAGAGTGATTTTTGGTGAAAACTCATCCTTCAACCTGTTGGAACTGGAGTAAATCCTGTGCAGTGACTGGCTCGGCCTAGGTCCTCTGCAGGAGGCTTTGGAACAAAGCTAGAGAAAGCTCTGAACTCCAAGTCAGGCAACCTGACTGTGAACACAGAAGCATGGCGTTACTTTCTCTCAGAACCTGATAACTTGTCGTTTTGAAAATGGAAGTCTGAATCTCCTTACTCTTGCCATCACCCAAGATTCTCTTCTTATGCTTCTTGTTTCCTCTGGGAATATGCTTAGCTATTTCATCCCCTTGAGTTGCTTCTACCATCACCTTCATATGGCAGATTTTCAGATCATTATCTCTGAACTCAGCCTTCCTCCCTGTCTACAGCCTTGCCTTTTCCAACTGCCTTTCATCAGCAAGCAGTGAAGATGATAAAAGAGACCCACAGATCAGCTAAGTATCCCCCAAAGTGCCTAACTATTGGCAGAGATGGTGAATCCCATGGAGAGGGAAGACTGAGAGCAGGCAGGAGAAGTACCTGCCTGCATCACTCAGGGGCAGAGGGTATGAGCAATAGGAAAGTAGGCTCAGGATCTTCTGTTCTTCTCCAAATACCTTCTTCCATTAGCTTTAGGAAGAGTGCAGAAAGTTTGTGTGCCTGGGGGAAGATATTTAATGAGATGTTTTTCTTCACACTCACCACTCTGAACTTGAAGAAAGAACCTCACTAAAGCTAGAGAGTCAAGATTTGCCTCTTAGAAGAAGGGTGGCCAAAGCAAAATTAGTTCAGCTAAAACTGCTTCCCACATAAAGGCAAAGAGACCAAAATCCTCTTCTTTCTTCCACCAGGAAATGTTACTTAAGATTTTGTTCTTGGTGCTCTCGCTGCTCACACTCCCTGTGGCTGCACCATTCCTTGGCAGGATAGGATATGACCCTCGCCTCTTGCCACTCAAGGCAGAGTACAAACCTACAAAGTTCATTTAAACCAAAATACTAAGAAATAAACAGCTGGCCATTCTGATAAAACTTGACACTTGACCCTGCACTCCTGAAGGCGCTCCTGAAAAATCAATAAGAAAGAAATCAAAAAGCATTACCACCCTTGAGCCTCAAGTTTGAATTGCATTTGGCTGCTAGTAATGGACAACTGACTACAATGGCTTAAACAAATGAGAAGTTTAATCTTACACATAAAAGAAGTCTAAAGATAGCTAGTCAAGGGCCAGTATGGTTGTTGTTCATTAGAGACCCTCACTCCCTTGTCTTTCCATCCTTAACATTGGCTTCCATCTTCTAAGTTATTTTATGGTAAATATGCCATCATATTTTCCAGCCATCATATTTTCATTCCAGACAGGAAGTAGTAAATCAACAGGAGAAAGGCAAAAAGTCACCTTTAGCTATCTGATCCTTTTTTAGAAAGCTTTTCCAGGAGGTCCATCCAACTTCTGCTGTCATCTTATTGATCAGAACTTCGTTATGTGGCTGTAGCTCAAGGGAGGCTGGGTAATGTGATCTTTAGCAGGGCACAAAGCCACCTTGAACAAAATGGGTTTTCTTACTGTGGAAGAAGAAGAGAATGAGTATTGGGTAGACAACCAGTCGTGTCTGCTACATAAAGGAGAAGCTAGTTGAATTGGAAAACAAGAGAGATCACATAAGACTAGAACCCAGGGCAGTAAAGAATTCCGGAGATAAAAGAAGGATCGAAAAGTGGTCTTGGCCTGATGAGTCTGCTAGGTGCTCTTAACAAGTGGGCAGGTGGTTCAGACTACCCAGGGTAATTCAGTCTGAAGTCTCAGGGCTTAGGGAACTGGCTTTTGATAACTGTTAACCTGCATGGGCCAAGAGGCATCAAGTTTTTCAGACCATTTGTGAGAGCCAAATTTTTCTTTAACCTAAGGGAGATGACAATTTAATTTCTGTGTCACTGTGATACAGTGATATAATAAATTTATATTTGGTTTTCATCCTGGGTTCCAAATTTCCTAAGGGATGGAGTGAGAGGAATGTCTTTTGTTATTCTTAATAAGCCCCTTTCAACCATACCTAAGTTTATTCTCATGAGATGACTCTTGGAGGATAGGGACTGGTTGCCAGAGGGACCAACTATGAGATTAGAGGGTTGGGACTTTCAGCCCTATCCCTACTTCTCCACACATGCACTACCCGTGCCCCCAACCTCAGACGATGGGAGAAGGGCTGGATATTGAGTTTAATAACCAGTGGCCATGATGTAACCAATCATGCCTACATAATGGAGCGTCCATAAAAACCCTAAGCTATGGAGTTTGTTGATGAACACACAGAGGTACGGGGAGGGTGGCGTGCCTCTTCCCCCATACCTTGCCATCTTCCACTGCATCTCTCCCAGTTGGCTGTTCCTGAGTTGTATCCTTTATAATAAACTGATAATACCAAGTAAAATATTTTCTTGTGAGCTGTTGTAGCAAATTATTAAACCCAAGGAGGGGTTAGTTACAGCCAGTTGGTCAGAAGTACAAGTCATGACCTGGGAATTGCAACTGGTGTCTAAGGTGGAAGGCAGTCTTTCAGGACTGAGCCCTTAACCTGAGGTGTCTGTATTAACTCCAGGTAGTTAGTATCATAATTGAATTGTAGGACACCCAGTTGGTGTCTGGAGAGTTGGAGAATTGCTTGATGTGAGGGAAAACCCCACATATCTGGTGTCAGAAGTATTGAGTTGAAGAACAGTGTTTTACTTTTTAGTTGCACTATGCAGATATTTAAAAATAGCAACTCACCCAGCCCTTTCAAATTATAATTTAATTCAAATATGTAAGATACTTAGGGGCAAGACAACTTGTAAAAAATGACTGAACTCTGCTGCAATTTAGCCTTCTCACTGCTCTGAAATTTCTTAACCTAGCTTGATTTTCTTTTTGAAAAAAAAAAAAAATTTCTATTTATGGAAATTTTCAAACTGTTTAGAGGGCATAGGAGATACTAGTCCCTGCTCATACACTTCAAATCACAGTGGAAAACATACTTTCTTAAAAATCTCATTCAGAAAGCTAGCTTTGAAAGGAAAAGTGGTGGGGCATGAACTGTTTAGAGTGCTCAGAATTTCAGCGGTTTGACAATGACTAGTGTCATGGACAAGATTAGATGTCGTAGTGATCAAAATTTTCCTAATTTTGCCAGCCTTATGTATTAAAGGAGGCCTGTCTCAAACTTGAAGCTTAACTTTATTTGATTCATCAGTTGAAAGAAGAAACAAAACCTAAATGTTGATTTCTGACAACTGTTTGCTAATTCTTGAATCCTCTGGTAAAAATAGAAACAATTATTGCAGGTCCTTCAAAAAAACTGCTCCAGTTATGTATCTGTATCTACACATGTAAAGAATATATTGATATTTAGTCTCCTTGACGATTGCTTTCCCATGGGAATACAGTTTTATCTGGATAAGTGCAGGTAGCCAATGTTGGGATAATTTTTAGGGTGTGAACATTTCAATCCTAACTGAATTTCAAATACCTATTTATTTACTTTTTGACCCAGATCTAACTGGCTGAAAAGCCCTGATGCCGATTCTGACCAGCTCTTCCGCATGGTGGCAGAGGTCTTCATCCTGTGGTGTAAATCGCACGTAAGCACACATTTGTGCCCTGGATTTAGGACGGTTGTAATGGGTACAAACCTTGGGAAACTTCATTGTAATGTTTGCTTTTCTTTATTTCCCCTCACGTAGAACTTCAAGAGGGAAGAGCAAAATTTTGTGATTCAGAATGAAATAAATAATTTGGCATTTTTGACTGGCGATAGCAAAAGCAAGATGTCAAAAGTAAGTCCATAGAAACCAATTCCAAAGACTCTTCAACCTTGACCTCAGCCATGACTTGGATCCGTTTTCTATTTTGTGGGGATTAACACTGTACTGCAGTTAGGTCAATGTATATAACCAACAGTCTCTGCTGTTGTTTCTTTGAGAATGAGCCAGAAGAAACTGTTCTCAAATAAGCATGGTCATCACATTTTATGAATAAATAATTGCTTGTATGTCAAAAAGTTTAAGTTCCAAGACTTGCCTAAGGCATTTGAGAGGTCTCCTAAATAGAAGCTGCTGTTTGTGGCTTTAAAATAGAATACTTCCAGTGTAGTGAAGCTACAGAAATATATATGCCTAGAACCACCTTTTGATTAGCTAGGAAGAAATTATCTTGCTTTGAAGATTTCAATTGCATATACTCTTAGGTTATGCTTGTTTTCCTCCTATCTGGACTATCCAATACCTGTTTTATTTCAGCTGTGTTGACCTCTGAATGCCTTCTGTTTATTTTTCATGACAGTTGCACTCAAAAAGTCAAACATTTGTCCTTCTCCCTGCAGGAAATGTTTGAAAGAGGGCATACCAGACATTTGTCTGAAAAAAGAGTAACCTATAGAGAGGAGTGTATCAGGAATACAGGGAGTAGAAATTGGCCTCCCAGCTCCTCCTGAGTTAGCTCTGCACACTGAGGCTTCCTTCTTTTAATTGGAGAGAATTCTCATACACACCCCTTCAGGTGTACGTACAAAAGCAAAGCCTACTTAAGTGTGATGCTTTGTTACCAGCTGTTATGGCTTACCCTTGATTCTGTTCCCCCAAGAAATGTGCCTCAATGAGGGTTGATTTTATGTCAAGTATAAGTGACATGGAATACCTGAGATGTGCATCTCTGTCATTGCTGGGACAGTGCTGCCTTTGAGGAACACGAAGGTGGGGTGTGCATGGGGACCCTTCAGAAGTGAAAGATGAGAATCATGGGTTTGTAGCAAAGCGCTTGAGCATCTTTCAAATAACCATTTGGGATGGAGGACTCATGTATGTAAGCGGCAAACAATGGGCTGATAGGACACCAAAAATGAAAACTTCAGCACCCGGAGCTCCACCAAGCATAGCTAGCTCTGGTCAGCCGCAATCACTCTGAACTTTCTGTCCCTTTCATCTTTTAGCTAAGCTGACACTAACACTTCTTCCAACATCCAGAATTTGACCTTTAGACTTTAGAATACACTTTAAGTATACACTAGAATATACTTTTAGCACATATCGCTTAATAAAGTTTGACAAAATTATGCATATACAAAGCAAAGGGATCACATTCAAGAGGAGTATTTGCTGCAAAGGAAACATGGTGGATCCTTTGTGTTTTAGATAATTTTATTTGATTTTCCAGAATTCCTTTTGTATTCTCCATTTGGTAAATACATCTGCTGTTCATGTGAGGTACACAAGGTAGGATTTTTCAGATCCAGCTCCCTGGGACATCTGGCTTAAGTCGCCTCTGCTGGGTCTTCTTTTTATTTGTTTTTATTTTTTTAGAGACAGGGTCTTGCTCTGCCACCCAGAATGAAGTGCAGTGGTACAATTATAGCTCACTATAACCTCAAAATCCTGAGCTCAAGTGATCCTCCTGCCTCAGACTCCTGAGCACCTGGGAATACAGGTGTGTGCCACCACAGCTGGCTAATTTTTTTAATTTTTTTTTAGAGATGGGGGTTTCACTATCTTGCCCAGGCTGGTCTCAAACTCCTGGCTGCAAGCGATGCTCCCACCTGGGCCTCTCAAAGTGCTGGGATCACAGGCATGAGCCACCACGCCCAGCTGTGTAGGGTCTTCTTACAGCTGTCACAGGCTTTTCTTTGACCCCATCTACCTACAGAAAGTTGATAAATCCCAAGCAGATTCCATACTGTCTTCATCTTGGGGTGGATCCACTGGCTCAGGCTGACCCAGCGAGCATCCATTGGGATTATCAGGGGATGGCCACAAAGCAATGGAAATGACTCTGATACAAGGATTCAGATCCTGGATGAACAGAAATGGCAGACACCTCAACCCTCTGGTGATAAATGAATGCTCAGGGTCCTTGGGTTGACATTCAGAAAGACATGAGGCTATAAAAAATGACATTTCAAAACCCACCTACTAACAAACTAACCTGACATTTTGTTCATTCACATCACTGAATGAGGAAAAGGGGTATTTGTCTTGCCAGAGGATGGTCATGTTCAGAATCTGGGCCTCGTCCCTGTTGGTAAGGTTAGTCTGTAGTAGCAAACTTTCGTTTCCATTGACATTGTACGCCAGTGCTTCCTGGGCCACATGAGATAGGTCGGAATTACAATGTAGTGGATGAGAGGACACTCCCTGGGTGTGAAGTAATATTTGCCATGCTTCTCAGGATAACAAATATTCATGTTATTCCTGTTGCCTCAGTCGAGACCCAGTGTGTAGTAGTAAATAAACTGGCAACTGAGAGGAAGCTAAGTGCTACCCCTGGCCCAGCTGTTAACTATAGCTACCACCTTGCATCATTCACTTTAGCTCCTTAGGCCTCAATTTCCCGATCTGTAGAATGGGGTCGAGCTTACTACCTGACTTCTCCCAGCTCTACTAAGATGTTCTGCTTAAAAGTCAATTTCAATGGTATCTCTAGAATAGAATAATATTTGATAAATGTAGTGCATTATTTCAGACAAAGAGATACCATGCCTCCAATAAACAGCAATTCATGGCCATTTCTGGTATTTTGGGGGTGTAGAAAGGCATATTGAGGGGGCCAGGGAAGGGAGTATTCTTTGTTTGTGGTTGAATCTCTATTGCCTTTGCCACCTCCTCAATTAGACATTCTCTCTACCACCCAACCTGAATGGTCACCTGTGCTTGCTTTCATCTCCACTCTTAACTGAATTCTGGTGTTGTATAAAGGCAATTGGCTGCAGTGCATATGGCAGGCTTTGTGGAGGTACGTGTGAGTGAATGCTGCACACACCACACACGCTGCACACACCACTGCAAGTGGAAAGGAAATGGAGAAAATATACAGTGGGCCACCCCGTTCATTCTGGATTAATTGAGGATTAGTTCAAAGACTTTATTTTTCTGGCAGGAAATGCAGATGTGTTTTGAAGAGCTCGTTGTATATTTTGTTTATATAACACCAGTTTGCAAATATATGTTAAGCTAAATATAACTAAGCTGAGCAAGTGTTTTTTTGTTTTGTTTTGTTTTGTTTTTAAACTTGTTTTGTTTTCTGGAAAAATGGCAGCAGCTTCCTCGGAGGGGAATGGTAAGTTAGAACATGTTTAGCCCAAGAAATACCAGTTCCTTTACCAAGGTTGTAAACATTAGAATAAAAAGAGCTGTGATGCAGGAAATATTAGAGTGCCTCATGGTTCAAAGCCACTGCACCACATAGAATGCAATTTTAGGGGGTTAAAAACAGACAAGAAATATTCTAGAAAATATCTTTGAGATTTTCAATGGTATTTGGAGTTGTATGTGTGAGTTTTCTTCTTGCTCCAAGCTCCCCCTCATTCACTCTCCTCTCTCACTCATTCCCTCTTCCCACCTCTTTTCTCTTTTATTTTTATTCCTTTCATTCTTGCACACCTGCATGTGCTCATAGGTGTGCTCACACTCTCGCTCTCTCTCTCACTCTCACTCACACACACACACACACACACGCACACATGCACACGCAAGCACACACTCCTCCTCTCAGTCTCTCTCTTCCCCTTCTTCCCTTTCTCCCTCCCTCCCTCCACCCTTCCCCCACTGCTGTCCTTCCTTTGTGCACATGAACATATACTCAGCACATTCTCTCCTCTCTACCCCTCTCTCTTTCTCTTCCTGTCTTTTTTTCTCTCCTCATTCCCAGACTGCCACAAATTCTCCTTTTCCTCTAATATCTAATGTTGGGTTGACTTGTCTTCACTCCATTTTCCCTCCCAATGGGGATATGAACTCCCCACGGCATACGCTTGCCTTCGTTCAGAGGCCTGACGCAAACTCTCCCTGTGCCGTCTCCATGTGGTGTGTCCTCTTCAAGCTCCCTTATCCCTTAGAAGTCTGAGGTTTTTCCTTAAATTCTACACATAAAATAATCTGTTTGATTATAAACTACTGGTGAGACTTGATGATCTAAGTGTGGAGAAATGAAATGATTTTGAAGGTATAGGAATTGGTAAATTTCTATTTAGAAAATAAAAAGTTTCAGTCGACTTTTTTAAAAAAGCATTTCCAGCCCTAGGGAATTACAATGAGTTAACTAATCTTAGCAATATGTGAAGAAAAGAATAAAATTAGCACATAGGAGCATTTGACCTAAGGTATGTTTAAAGGTCGCAGCACAGGAAGGGAGATGCTCCATCCTTTGGGTTGTGGGCTGATCCTGAGTCTCACCTTGGATATTTCTAGAGATTTTAAGCAAATCTTCTTTTAGCAGAAGTGTAAGTGTTGCCCCTTAGCTCAGTTCTCCCCTCTCTTTTTGTAGCCACAGAGCTGCTGGGGTTAACAATGTGGTGGGTAGAAGAAAGAAATAAAATGGAAGTCTTTGGTTACATGGCAGATTGTGGCCCACCCAGGTGAAAGGAGGGAGATGGAAGGGGCAAAGACTGCGGGTCTAGAGAGTTCACGTGGGTGGCTGGATCTGAAGCCCACCCTGGGTCAGGTCTGAGTGCCGCACTCTCCGGAAGGGTGGTCTCTGGGTTGATCCTTCCCCCTGGCGGTGGATTGCTTGGGCTGGATGTAAGTCCTTTGACCAAATTAACCTCCATCCTAACCTCCCACTCGCTCTTCATGCCATGCTCAACTGGCCTCCAGCACAGTTGAGTTTCTTTTGTGTTGGCTGAGAAACTGGGGCTAAGAAGCTATGACTAACATGTTGTACCTTATGCCTTGGACCCCTGCTTTTATACTAACTGACTCTTCTCCTTGTTTCTTTTCTTTTGTCTTTCACACAGGCCATGCAAGTAAAGGTACAGGTCAAATGCATGACGTGTCTTTTCTGTCCTAGTAGTAGAGGTGCCAGGCTCTGGCCCCCTCTGCACAGTGATCACCATGGGGGTGGTACAGAATGGATTTGCCCACCTGGAGGTCCCCAGCCTGCTCCAGGGAAGACAACTGCCTGTCAAAGAGTGAATGTAGGCCTACCCACCCTTGGAATGGGGAAGCCGGGGAAGCCAGCCAAGCCTCGCCCTTACCGAGGTCTCCTTGCTATCTCTGCTCCCTTCCCCAGCTGCCCTCTTGGCAGCCACCACACTAACAGACATAGGGATGACTGATCAGGCTTGAGAACCTGAGGGACTCACTCCCTACAGTGCCACCCAGGGTCAGAGTCATATTTTCTGTTAGTGGTCTCAGCACCTGCACTCTGTACATGTTCTGCCTCTTGCACAAACAAGGCCCCTGTGATTCAAACACAGTCTTTCAAGAACTAAACTCAAGGTTTTGAAGTCAACAGATAACCGTGAGTTTGTGCATAAAATGTGCATATGGTGGAATAAACCCTGGAACAATTTTCCCATTACCCCTACTGGCTATTATGTAGAAATTTCTTTTTGTTCATTAATGTGTATCTGCTGCCTTTGTCCCAAGCCCTCTACCCTAAGGTTTGTGGTGGAGAGAGGGAGATACACAGGAACCAGGTCACATGCAGCTCCTAGTGAAAGAAGGAAAATGGAGCCTGGGCAGGGTAGACTTGTGTCTGGATGTTGGCTCAGGTGCTCACCTGCTGTGTGACCTTGGAAAAATGACTTAACTTCCCTGAGCATCCTGTTCTCGTTTATAAAACTGACTCATTAATATTCCAGGGTTGTTGGCAGGATTATAAATATTTTATATAAGTAACAGGCACATTGGAGTCACATCGTATATGCAGCATTTATGATTAGAATGACATGAGATCGGCCAAATCAAATAGAGGGTGAACCAGAAATAATTTAAATTGTGTAGTCAAGTCCACATAGCTATGTTTTTGAGCATATTTACTTGATTGTATACTCTGTGTTATTATTTACATTCCAGTGTTATGTATACATGATACCACATAGTTTATATAAACTTAACCGGGTTCTATCTTTTATGGATGATTGGAAGCATTTTTAGGGATAATTTAGACTATAGATAAGTTTTGCTCTAAGACACAACCTTTGGAATTCTACATCCGATGGTAGAAGGTGTAAGGGACCTAGCAAGCGCTCAGTAAACCCCAGAACTGCCGGCCTCTGTGTGAACCAGCTTTCACTTTCTGCTGTGCTCTGGAACACGAGAGGCCTCCTTCTCTTAGCCTTGTTCCTTTCCCTCTTTATATTTCTTACTGTCCCTCCCTGCTGTCCTGGGGCTGACTGGTGTTTTGGAGCACTGGACACGAGGCACTCCTGCAACCAGGAGAATCGTCTGGCAGTGTTTGGCCAGACTGGGTTTTTCTGGCCAGGGGTTTTGCTGCAGTTTCTGTGATAGAACCACCTGAAGGTACAGCTGCCACAGTGTGGTGAAAGAATTCACATCCTTTTCAGGAGTGTCCATTAACAATTATGAACCTTTTTCACATTTTGGAAAGTAATTTAAAGAGAGTCGTCCCAAGGCAGTGTTAATTGTCCTCCTCTTCTCTTCAGAAAGCCCATCTCTCATAAAATGATTTCAGCCCCAGCCTAGGAGGCCCAGATCTTATGTGCCACTTCCAGGGGAGGCATCCAGCCTTCCCTCCTCCCAGAGCCCCACGTCTGTGTGTCATTGCAAACCACAGCGCTGCCACCTCATGCTGCAAACACTCCTCAGCACCTCACAAAGCAAAGCATCCCTGTCCCTCGGGGTCTTCGACTTGCTTCCGGCCACCCTGCTTCTAGCAAGTGCCTGCTCAGCTAAGACACAGTCCAGCAAGCAGGGCTCCACGTGGTCAACTTCGCTCCTTTGCAGTTGGCATCATGAAACTCGAGTCATTGCAGTGCTTGGTTTCCTTGAACCCGCCTAGGTGCACCATGTGCTAAGGGTCCCCAGTGGGGTGCCTGGGGCTGCCATAGCACCATGGCCTGGTGCCTTGGATTCCTCACTGAATGAAGCCTCTCTGGAAAGGATGAGAAGGTGTAAGCCAAAGAGGGGCGCAAACTCCCATGGAATTGGGAAGTTCATTTCTCTCACATCATCAGTTTTTCTCCTAACTTTCCCCCAGCCAGATCCCAAAACAGTCCTAATTTAGGGTTGTCCTTTTCCTGTGAGAATTCGCTTTGGCTTGTGGTAGGGAGGTGCTCCAAAACACCAGCTTCAGTCTTGGTTTGAAACATAGAGCAATTTCTCTATGGTGGATGCTCTTACACGTTTTTCGTGATTCCCCAGCATCAGGAATCTCAGTTCTTTTCTGGGGTCATTTTGTCAGTTATTACATCATTCTTTTTGCAAAACACCAGTTTATTTGTTCCTTTGGTCCAGAAGTGAGTGAGCAAAGACCGTAGGTGTCTGTGATGTGTGTTTAGTCATGTGGTTCTGTGTGCATGCACAGAAGGAGAAGGCCCAGGGTTAGAGCTGGTCTTTTATGGCCACCTGGTTTGTCTTTGTTTAGCACACTCTCTTTTTACTGTCCTTTGAAATGTAGTGTAAGGCCCAGCCTGTACTGACAGGGCCACGAGGCGGCAGGCGGCCTCTGAGACGAGGCAGTTCCTTTCAGAGAGTCACTGAGCCCCTCTCTGTTTATTTCAACATCATCTCCTAGTCTGGAGGACAGGACCAGGAACGGAAGAAGTCAAAGCGAAGGGGAGACTTGTATTCCATCCAGACCTCCCTCATAGTGGCTGCTCTCAAGAAAATGCTGCCCATTGGTTTGAACATGTGCACCCCAGGCGATCAGGAGCTGATCTCCCTAGCGAAATCACGCTACGGCTACGTAAGCTACCCATCCGGTTATGTGGGGCATGGAAGGCAGATGGTGGTAGTGATAGGCCCTCAGGCCCTGACGAGTTGGTCCCCTCTCCCAGGGAGTGGGGGTGGGGGGCAGATGAATAGAAACCAAGGTGTACAAAGGCCACTGCCCTCAGTTTTACAGCTGGTTTGGGTGTCAATATGTGCCCTTTACAAGTCTCTGTAGTATTTTTTCTTTTTTTCTTTTAATAAAGATCCCAGCAAAACCATATTAACTGTTCCAACATCTCCATAGCCCACTTGATAGTTCCACGGTAATCTCTAGGAATAAAATTCAACATCTCTTTCCACAGAGGGACACAGATGAAGAGGTCAAGGAACATCTGCGGAATAACTTGCACTTGCAGGAAAAGGTGAGGCCTCAAGAAGACAAGGAGAACTCACACATGCTGTCCTCTGACTGCAGGGTCCCATCCTCTCACGTAGTTACCCGTGTTCTTTAAACGTGTTGTAAGAACAGTTTTGGCGTATTTGTATTTAATTGGTAGGCCTAGCTTTAATTTTTTTTAACTTTAAGAAAAAAAAAATTATTGGCACATAAACTGCCCTTAATTTTTGGTTTTTGCCCTTAATTTTTATTCTTTCCTTTGCCATTACAAAGAGGATGCAAAGAGGCATCCGATAAAGCATGCCTTCCCACTTCCCATTATGCGGATACCAGGCCCTAGCAGGGGGCATTTGGATGAGGTCTCAGAATTTACTGATGACAAATCTTGTTAAACAGAGATATGGACACCTGGTGGGAGCTTTAGCACTTCCTTCTCTAGAGAGATTTTGAAACAAAATAATTTTGTGTCCTAGTTGGTGTAATAAAAAAAATAGATAATTTTGATTTTAAAGGTGATTTGAGATTTTTCCAGGTCTGTAAATCTGAAGAACTCTTTTCTCAAATACATTATGCCCTAAAATGAAGAGCTAAGGCAATAGAAAACCTCTCCTTTCTACCCCAAACATATAGGAATGGTGGATAAAATATACTAGAAAAAAAGGCACTAAAAAGAAATCTCAAGTGCCAGAAGAAAGAAAACACTCTAAATCATAGTAATGAAAAGCTAGGCTGTTGGGAGAACTCAGAGTTCTCCAGGCCAAATGGGTATCTTGAGAGCTGGGGCTTTTAGTAATCTTAACGAAAGAAGAGCATGGAATCTAATTACCCATGATGTGCATAAATACGAAGTGAGAAACTTACATAAAATTAGCCTTGAACCAGTGAAACGCATGAATATTTTGCAGAGATGACCATTGAACCACTTGGAGAGTTTCTACCTCCTAAAATATGGTCTGGAATGGCAATAAATAAAGCTCTGCCTGAAGATAAGCTCATATTTAAAAAAAAAAATTACAAAGCAGGTAAAGAAATCTACCAGCATTAGAGAGTCAGCATATGGATCAAAGAATTCAAGCATAAGGAGCTGTAGAAAGGGATTTTAAACATAGTTAAAACAGATAAAGGAAGCAACAGAATCCATAAAGCAATTAAGTGGACATTATTTTTAAAAAAGGAGGATGTCTTTAAAAAAGGACATCATAGTGATTATAAAATTTAAAGTTATTAAAATTAAAAACATAAGTGGATTAAAAAGTAGGCTAGACACAACTGAAGAGAGAATTTATAAATTCGATGTTTGCTTTAAGGAAATTAGCCAAAATGCAGCACAGAGAAATAAACGGATGGAAAATATTACAGAATTAACATGGAAGCTAGAGTGAGAAGTTCCTATGTAGCATCTTCAGTGTCCCAGAAGATGATAATAGAGAATGTGAGAGAAGCAGTAATAGAAGAGAGTCTGATTACTGTGGAACCATGGTAGGAGAAAAAGGCTTTTCCAGTGTACAGTAGAGGAAATTGCTCATCTCATGGGTTTGCTTCACTTTCCAGTCTGATGACCCGGCTGTAAAATGGCAACTGAATCTCTATAAGGATGTTCTGAAGAGTGAAGAACCTTTTAATCCAGAAAAGACAGTAGAGCGTGTGCAGAGAATTTCAGCAGCTGTCTTCCACCTGGAGCAGGTAAGGAGCATCTGCTCTGAGGAGTAAGAATGCCAGGCCACCCTGGAGAAGGCAAATCTCCTCTCCACATGTAGCTCTCAGCTTCAAGTGCCCTAGTATGTAAGACTGAGAAAACAGGAGCAAGGATAATCCTAGATCACCCCCAAGTGTCATCTTGGTGCTTTGTGATACCCCTCAATTCTTTCCCCTTCCAATGTTTTACAAATTTTGCCATTAGCTCAAATGACCCATTTAAGTCCCATAGCATTTGTAAAGCTGCTATTAGGCAATAAATGGCTAAAAGCAGCTGGCATAAGGAAGAAAACCTAAGACCTTCACAAACTGAATCATCTACCACCGGGTACATTTTGCTCACTACAGTTGAGAAGCCAAAATTTTTCCAAGAAGTCTGAGCTCCAGATGACTGTCTTCTGCCACCAGAAGATCAGCCATAGTGTGTACCTACCCATGTGCATTCTTCTCAGGTGGAGCAGCCTTTGAGGTCCAAGAAGGCTGTCTGGCACAAATTGCTGTCAAAGCAGCGGAAACGGGCTGTGGTGGCCTGTTTCAGGATGGCCCCTCTCTACAACCTGCCCAGGTAAGTATTCTGGCATTTTTTTCTGGCACTTGAGCCAGTGATGAGAATTGAGATATCTTCCCAGAGCTGTGCTCTCTTCTGGCCCTTACACTCTTGATCCAAGGAATAGAAATTGGCGTCCTTGTCCTGTGGAGCTACAGCAGTCTACATAGTGTAAGGGCCGGCCATCAAGGTAAGCATAAAATCTGAAACCAGGTGAGATTCCCTAGCAGCCATGCCTGTTCGGCTCACCATTTTGCACTGTTAAATCAGCCAAGTAAACATATGGAGACCCTCTACTTTTGCTGATGTGGAATTCTCTGTGAGGACATAAAGTCTTCTGGAAAAAGGAAACTGTCTTCTAAAACACTTTACCCCAAATTCCATCAGCAGGTCAAACAGTATTTCTCTGCTCAGGCACGGTTGACACAAGAATTATCATTTCCTCAGCAGGAACAGGAGTGTAACTTGGGAATCTTTTCACATACATATTTGCTGTCAAGATGCAGAAAGGCTGGGGATGTCCCAAGAGACCTGCCAGGGGCATGATGCCTTTAACTGGGTGTTTCAGCTTATACTTTGAAGTAAAAGATTTTTGAAGGCATTTCTGAAAAATTTGTGACACGTCCTGTGTCAACACAGGAGAGGGTGTCTGTGACAGACTGAGTCAGCGATGACCACTGACACTAATTCAGTGTTTCTGGTGACTTGGCAACATTCCCATCCTCAGACTGATCGCAGAGCTGCTATGGTTGAGCCTATGATCAATAAACAAAGCTGCTGATTGAATATTAGCCTCTGCTTCATCAACTTTCAAATCAATAGGAGCATTCTCACCTGCTTAGGAAAAGAAAACTGACTTGGACAAGTATATTCTGAATTTCGTGTAAATAAATGCGTTTCTTTGGAATATCAGATAAAGGACCATTCCTATACTTGACATTTTGCTTTCATCAAATTGTGGATCTTGGCCATCACTTGTCCAGAGTGCCCTATAACCTCATCCTGAGCCAACTGGCTACCTGGGCCTTCCTAGGTAGAGTCTTTGAAGATGGTTGAGAATCATGGCCTCTGAAACACACACCTGCTCCAACGGGGTCTCTCTTGAGAAAACAGATTACTGTCTTTGAACGGAAATGAGGCACCATTAAATCAAATAGAATTCATGAATAAAAAGCTAAAAAATTAAGCAGTGATGGGCACGAAGGCTGCTACAGTCCTGACAGAAAAGTGGAATTCATAGAGCAGTAGAAAAAGCAAAAGAGCACAGGATTTTTGTTAGTTTTCTGGAAGTGGTAGAACATCAGAAAACATTTGCTTCCCCCTCTGGTTGCGATTTCTACCTGCTACTGTGCTAACTTGGCCTCCTGAAGAGCTCAGCTCTAAGCATGGGTCTCCAAGGCCAGGACAGCTAGGCAGAAATTATGTCTCAAAAAAACAAGCATTTTTCCTAAATCCACTAAAAATGTTAGTACCATCCTTACAAATTTGGGCTGCTCCTTCAGCAGTTCTACCTCTGTATGGGTAAGAGTAAGTCCAGGGATTCACCATGTCCTAGTTGGCACATGGCCATCCGGGCCCAGTTGTTTCAGAGCAGTTGTCCTGGGTGTTCTCTCTGCTTAGAGGATTGTAAGTAGATTTCATAACAACTAACTAAGAAGCTGATGATGGAGACAACCCCTCTTCTCCACTTTGTGATGATCTAAACTACATGGACTCTTCCAAACTAAAGGGCTAATGGGATTTATTTTGTTATGTGGAAACTGTTTCTCTGACGTTAGTTTTTAAAAGAAAACCTGTATGCTTTTCTCCAGAAACAAAATTAACAATTTCTTCCTGAGCACCTTTCAACGGGTTTGGCTGGAAAAGGTTAATGAAAAAACTCAATATGACAGGCTTATACCCATTTTAATGGTAATGTAACTTGTGGAGAGACCTGCCCATTCTCTGCACACCCCTCCTTTCTTGACCATGATTTAACATTACCATAAAAAACACAAATTTGTACAATTTTTAAAAGGAACTCTGATTGGTCAGGTTTTGAAGAAAGATGGCAGGGACTGTCTTCTACCGAAAACCACGACCAGGTCTTAATGACTCTGGTAATGACCTTTATCTTCCTGTCCTCCCCTGTTCACCACACTCTTCACATACAGCAGTGGCAACGCTTAGCTGCTATACGGTGGCTAACGTTCCTAGAAGGCAATCCTGGCTTATAAGGAGTGGTTCATGCCAGTTATTCAGTGTTCCCAGATACCAGGGACATAGCTAGAATCCACGAGGCATACAGAGAACATGCTAATGACATAACATGCCCCAGGCTTTCCTTGCTAAGTAGCAGCTGGAGCACCTTGCTGGTGTGGTCGCTTGGACAACAAAATGAAGCCACACTTTGATGTTTTCAGTATATCTGATACTAGACCACTCACCATCAGCATTATTTAGATTAGGTGGTCAGCCTAAAGGACTAACTAAACTGCCATATAAAGCAGACACGTCAGGACTGTCACTTGGCCTAATGACATATTTCTCGTTAGAGGGGAAATGGGATGAAGACCCTGTGAGACCAGAGTAGGATGACAGTTACCACCGCGTCTTGCACTAGCCGTTGTTATTTTCAGAAGGTACTCCAATATTCAGGAACCGCCATGGTAGAAGGTTCTGGTTTCTTTGAAATGAATGCTTATGGTGTGCTACTGGCCACCCTGACCAATCAGAAGAAAAGAATTGTACAAAAGTCTGTCCCGCTTACTAACCATTAACTGCCAAACTAAAAGAACATGTTCCACGGTCCCCCCTTGACCTCACTCTCACCCCTTCCGCTCAGGCACCGCTCTATTAACCTCTTCCTCCATGGCTATCAGAGATTTTGGATAGAAACAGAGGAGTATTCCTTTGAAGAGAAACTAGTTCAGGATTTGGCTGTAAGTACTGACTCAGCAGATACGGGTGTGAATGAATTTGATTTTTGTATTCATGTGTGTGCTTGTAACAGTTAAACATTCACAAAGAATCAAGTGTATAAATTCGAAAGGAACTAACTGTGTAAATTCTCAGGGAGGCCCTGCTAGTGGTCCTAAGAGCCAGAGGATGAATTTTCACTTGGAGGTGCTAATACTATTCTCATCCTCATCATCATCACTGTTAACCACTAATATTTCCCGAGATGCACAGTAGTGTCATGGGGAGTTCATGCTAAGTTAAGTTTTGAGCACCCATGGTTGCAGGAGGCCACCCCAGCCAAAGCCCCACATTCCTAACCAGTAGCTCTGTTCTGGGGAAGATACATCTGAATACCCTTCCTGCATCTCACATTTCTGTGTTTGGCCCTTCAGGAAATGTAGCATGCCCTGTCTCTAACAGACCTCATCCTCTAAAACCACTGAAAATGACACACAAGGGGAAAAAAGCTTATTGCAGAGGTACCACAGAGCCTCTTCTGGTTCGGAAATAAAATAAACCCTTCTCTCCTTCGGCCAGCCCCTGGTTCTTTTTCTCCTTCTTACTTCTCCGATTTATCTTTTTTCTTGTCACTTACTGTCTCCGTTAGTCTTGCCCTGTGTTTCCCATGTTCACTTTTCCATGTCTTCTTCTATCTTTCCCTTTCACCCTGTTTCTTTTCCTCTTTCTCTCTTTTTTCTTTTAAGCCGTTTTCCCTCATTTTTCTTCCATTTGTCTTTATGTCCTTCATTCTCCTCATACATTCCTGTCCGTGAGAAAGACACTTCCTTGGTTTTCCTAGTTTCTTGCTTAGTGTGAGGTGGACGGTGCGCACCATTTCTGCCCTCTACTTCTGAGCCACTCACACAACCCGTGCAGTTCTCACTGGTTTACTGAATATGGTCCACCCTGCTGGCTCTGCTACTGCTAGAAAACTCACTTTTACTTGGGCATCAGCTTCTCTTTCCCTTTCTGTAAAAGGAGATGGAGAAAAGATGTGATAAGAGAAGTGCAAGGTAGCAGCTCCAGGATGGCAGCTCTCAGTAGCAACCAGAATTTTAGAATCAAGAGTGAGGTTCAAAGAGAGAAATGTTTTACTGGGTTGAATCTAGAATAGTATAAGACCCAATAATTCTCGCCCCACCACCATCTCCAGCCCAGCTCTCCAAGAGAAATTCCAGTTGTTGGCCAGAGAGACCCAGTCTCTCGGGTGACTCTGCAGGGTTCCCTCCTGAACTCGGGTGCCCAGAGCTTGCATGAGAGTTCTGCTGATTGAGGTCTGCAGCTCTTCCCCATGGTCAGCCTTTCGCTTTTTCTTTTGTTTTAACCTAAAATTGGAATGTTTATTTGATTGGCTGGAAAAAATATATACGTATATTCCAAACCTTGCTTCCTTAGGGCTTCCATCCTGAAATAAATATGTGACACGGTGGTTTCTTTTTGTGCTTTTAGTCTGATGCACTCTGTGCCTTGCGCTTTGCCTTCTCTTTGTTCGCATGCAGCTGCTTGGCATGTGATGAAATTCACGCCTAAAACCTGTCTGTGTTGGTTTGTGTAGAAATCTCCCAAGGTGGAAGAGGAGGAAGAGGAAGAGATGGAAAAGCAACCTGACCCACTTCATCAGATCATCCTCCATTTCAGCCGCAATGCTCTCACAGAGAGGAGGTCAGCACCACCAGACCACCACGACACAGGGATGGTTGTGTCCACCCAAACCTTCCTCTTGCAGACAGCAGAGGGTGGAAAAGGGAAGCAAGATTGGAGCAGCCCTCCTTGCTGCCCTATTGTTGGTCATCAAGAGACGTCTAGGGAAACTACATCAGCCACAGCCCTCTCACCATAATACCAGACACTGAGCTGAAGATTAGACAGCCTGAAACTGTCTAATCAGTAACCTTCATCCCTGAATTCCACGTCAAGCCAATGCCGATTCAGATTTTCAGAGTGGTTTCTAAGAATCAGAGTGGGGGAGGAGATTTCTTAATTAATTTACTTATACATATAATTTGATATTTATGTGACTGTTAGTCTTTTCTGTGAGGTCTAAAGAGTAGCCTGCTAAATATGTCCTCCATTCTTTCCAGCAAATTGGAAGACGACCCTTTGTACACCTCCTATTGCAGCATGATGGCCAAGGTACACCTGGATTTTCTGCCATCGTCTCTGTCTGTCTTCCCTTAGACCTCCTCAGGCACATGGAAACTGTCATGCTGGACAGCAGACCTGGAACTTGGTCATGACATCAGTTCCAGGCATTGCACAATTCGTGTGCCATAAGGATGACATTAGTAAACCACTCACTATCCTCCTAAGGAAACCTTGAGGCTTTGCAGAAAGAGTGGGTGCTGGTGTCTAGGTTCCCATGACCTGTTCTAAAGCTGGCTAACTGGGGCTTAGGCATGCAGAATTCCCTTGTGTTTCCGGTCAATGTTCAGAAGATGACAAACAGTTCAAACACATCTGCAGGTAAAGGAAACAGGGTTAGAAACTAGAGGGAGCTTCTGGTGTTCTGGAAGAAGCAAAGTGACCAGACATGTCCTATATCACCTAGAAAGATGGTGACATCTGGAATGCCGGGTGGATAAGGGAACTGTTCCTAATGGGAAACTTTCATGTGAGGCAGAAATATTGAGGTATGGGAGCACCTATTCCTTTAGCTGCATGACAAGGCCACAGCAGGAAGGGGCACTGTAGGATTCACATCCCAGATGTCCCCAATCTTATTGCCATGCCCCCAGGGCTGTGCCTAGAAGGTGGCAGCTCCCTGCATTCCTGTCTCCCATTTACACCAGAGCTTTACTAAGGTAGAGGAGTTTGGGTCTGTGGTTAAGCCAGACAGATCCCCATTGATGATGTGATCTCAGTGTTCTCATTTCTGAACCCCTTGGTAACTGCAAAGATAGCATTTAGAATAGAACGTTGCCCCGCTGTGGTCAAAATGTTCCTGGCTTTCCACAGCGCTGACGTCCTGAGGTGCCTGTGAATTATGTCCCATCCCCTGCCCTTGCAGAGTAGAACAGAATCGTGTTTAGTAGACTCACCTTTAATTTGGTTGTCTGCGTCCTCCTTTTTCTGCTCCATGGAATCCAGAGTTGTCAGAGTGGTGAGGATGAAGAAGAGGAGGAAGACAAGGAAAAAACTTTTGAAGTAAGTTTTCCTGAAGGTTAAAAACAGGGCCACCCTCCAAGGCCAATAGGCCGGGCCTTCAGAGGTGGGCGCTGACATTAGCATAGGGGGCTCACCCCCCAGGAGAGCCTGAGTTGGCAAAGCTGCCTTGAAGAAGCGCACCGTTAGCGGTGGTTCTGTCGTCTGTCTGCCCAACGAAAGGTAGCAGGCAGTATGCTGGTTGGCAACCGCCTCACTAGGTTTGTTCTCCTGGGAAATTCTACTCAATTACTGTAGTAACGGGGATATAGAAGGACAAATTCAAACATCCAAAATGAAAAATCAGAACAATGAAAAATCAGAGCAGTGGAGACACTGGAATGGTTTTTGCACTGCTATTCTATAAATGCACATTTCTAGTCATTTTATTTTGAGGCAGTGTGGGACCCTGAAGGTCCCAAGATTAAACTATATTAGGTTACTCGTACTCTTTTATAAACAAAGTACACAGCAGGACACAGCAGAAGTAAATGAATGTAATTACAGTCCGGAGAGGTTTGACATGCTAGTAACACATGTATGGTAAAAAGCGTTTGGTCTGAGCGTTCCAGATAAGTGGGCATTGCCTACACTCAGACAGACACTCAAGTTGACCCTTTAGCAGGTTTCCCTTTGGGACAGAACACTGAAAACAAACGCATTTTAATGTTGGATCGCATCCTATAATTATAGTATCCAAAAGGAATGGGCTGTGTCATGGGCTGATAATTTTGGAAAGCTGGATAGTGTCCGGAAATAAATTTCAGGGGTCTGCTCTGTTCAAAATGATGTGTGTTGCCTTCCTTAGGCAACTAAAGATTCTCTCTCTCACCTCACCATGGTGAACTCCCTGGTAGGGGATGGGGAATAGATCTTTTCCTGTGATATTTTTTTTCCAGGAGAAAGAGATGGAGAAACAGAAAACTCTCTATCAGCAAGCTCGGCTGCATGAGCGTGGTACCGCCGAGATGGTCCTTCAGATGATAAGCGCCAGCAAAGGTGAATTCTCTAGTTTCTGGATGGGCGCATGGCACTTGTAGAGATATCATGCTGTGACACAGAGGCGTGATCAAAGAGCCTTGATAAAGCCCAGTAGGTGCGATTTGCCATCTGTCTCCTTGGTGATTAAATCGAATCTTCACCCTGGCAGGTGAGATGAGCCCCATGGTGGTCGAGACTCTGAAGCTGGGGATCGCCATTCTGAATGGAGGCAACACTGGTGTGCAACAGGTAACGTGCAGGTTCCTGGGTCTTCCTATTTGACAGCTGTCACACTTCAGGGAAGAAGCGTTGACTGCTACAGAGGGGGGCCACCCACAGTCACTCAGCTGAGTTTGTCCTTAGTGGCCAATTATAAAAGAGTACCTGGAGACACAGATAAAACCAGGAATGAAAGTCTACAGGCAAATGTGTACTTAATAAAGAGGTTTTACCCAAGATCAAAGACAAAAACATTTAGTTTTTTTTATCAGTAGATGATTTTCTACATAGATATACTCTGGAAGAAGTTTCCTAAGCCTTACATTTTTCTTTTAGCTCTTTATTAGCTGCCTTACTATGATCCAGGAGCCTCATCAGTTAACTCAGATTGGTAATCCCACACACCTGTTCTTCATTCATTTGTTCATTCACTAAATGAACAACTGTTTACTGATTGCTGACCACACCAGGCTCTGCTGTAAGGGTTGAGGGTATAGCCTTGCATAAAAACCTCTGCCGACATGCAGCTTTCATTCTAGAGAGCATTAAGTGAGACGACAGACAGCAGCATAGAGCAGAGGGCCTGGCACACGGTATTCATTCAACAATCTGCATTGGAAGTGGCTGCAGAAGACAGGGATGCACTGCTATCTCCTGGGCCCTCCCGGCTCTGGCTAAAAGCAGCTGTGTGCACAAGAAAGTGGAATTTCAAACAGACCTTCTGCATTCATGAGAGTTATATCCCACGGCCTTTGAGAGTCTCCAAATTCATAGCTATCACTATTGCATATGATTTTTCCCAGCCTTTAATTCATCCTAAACAAATTTCTCATTAAGAACTATCATTTTTAGATTGCCCCTCATTTTCCACTCTTCCACCACCAGCTATCAATTGACTTTCTTGCAGAGCCTTTTATTTATTTTTTTCGCAGAAAATGCTAGATTACCTCAAGGAGAAAAAGGATGCCGGATTCTTTCAAAGCCTTTCTGGTCTTATGCAGTCTTGCAGGTAAATAGGAGA